AATATTTTTGAAAATTCGATAAAATTCCATCATTAATTCAAAATAAATGCAAATAATTTCTAAAAATTTATTAAAATTTTTACTAAAATTAGTAAAAGCAATGCACAAAGTAAATTTGAATTTTTACCACATATAAAAATAAACATTATTTCAGGATTGTAACACTTCTCAGAAAGAGATACTTGATAAGATCCTCAACTAATATATTCACAGCATTTCGAATTCTCAGAAGGAGGTGAAAATAAATTTGCAATAGTTTCCCAATGTTCGTAATTGCATAGCAATTTTTCGGTGAAATGTATTTACTTTCATCGTAAACTAAATAAATTTCTGGCAATTGGATACTTCCTGGAAATGCACACAACATAAAAAAAATCAGATGTCAAGCAAAACAAGCCCCTGAATTGACTGTATATTAAATTAAACTGGGGGCATAATAAATAAGCCAATGATATATTCAGGAGGGCAATATTAACCCAGTTGTTATTGTAATCTATAGTAAAAAAAAATGCGGCTTATGCCAAAGAACTCAGTTGGCCAATCTGGCATATACTTAATGACATTAGATAGAACCTAATAGACGAATTCCCAGAGGGGAGAACAAAATCAATTTCCTGCAAGACATAAGCACATTATTATTATTTGCTTGCGAAAAGCAATGAAGAGTGCAAATAGTTGATATCTATTACTATTAATCGCAGTAAACAAAAAAAAGCAGAGGCGAATTAATAAGCAGAGAAAAAGCACAAAAAAATATCAATAAGGGAAATGGCTTAAAGCGAACACTCTGCGTGTCCTGTCAGTCATCCATTGCCAAGGATTAGGGAGCAGGGAGTTGGGAGTCGGGAGCCAGGATGCCATTGTCAAACTGACGGCAGCTTTTGAATTATTAATGGCTGGATTATTTGGATTTTTTGCGCTTATTAAAATGCGAAATCGAACGAATTGTGTGCAGTGACAGGCATAAATATCCGTTGGGAATCGCTCTGGCACTTTATTGAAAAGTTCCACTTAAGGGATGGTGTAATACAATTATTGATGAATTTTTTTTAGCAACTTTAAAAATGTCTCAATACAAACTTTTATCTTTTACAATAAAAAATGAATGTAATTGTAAGAAGAAAAAGTTTGAATTGAATATATTTTCAATACGATTATTTTTTATCAAAAGTAAAAGTATATTAAAAAAGATGTAATTTAATTGCAATCAATAGAAACTCCAACACGATTTATGCTATAAGCCCAGGCAATAAAATGTGTATAAATTGTATATGAAAATCAATTAACTAAGTTAATTAACAAATCTCTGTAGAAAAACACCTCTTTTGACACTCTCTATGTGTGTGTGTGTGTGTGGGAGTAAATGCTAATGACACTCTGACAGGCTAGTGGCAATTGGACAAAGCCCACCAACGCCCAGCAGCGACACGCCCCATAAATCAGTTGACAGTTTGAATTTACTGTTGAAATCGGTTTCACACAGCACACTGCTATGAGTAATACATATTTAATTATCTAAACAATATCAACACTTGTTTCCACACTTCGCCATGACTCAATGCATCTGATGCGGCGGGTTCAATAGAACTACTTATATGGGGGAACGCTGTATTGAACCTGTCACTGTCACGTGACCACCTGCAAAACAATACAAAAAATAAGAAAAGGTTCATTTACTTGCAGCTATTTACTGTTTACGACTGCCAATCAGCCGGTGCTCGGCATTTGGCGTTTAGCGTCAAAACCATTGCTACTGTTTGCGCAAGTGTCTGTCCGAATATATAAATAAGTCGATTCCAGCAATCAGACTGAACAATCGCCCGTTAAATGAACCAACTTCGATATTTATTTAACTGATTGTAAAAATAGACCGAAAGTTTAGCGGCTCTTCGAGCAGAACTCTTGCATATTTCTAGGCTGACAATGAATGACCTTTCACATGCAAAATGGAAATTCAAAATCTATTTTTAAATGCTGCGATTTTTTTCATTGAATTTCTGTCTGATTTTCTTTTGTATTTTCATACATTTGTTTAATTTATGCATGGCATGAAACTGATATGGAAAGCTGTTCAAATGCACTATGCATATATATCTAATGCTTCGATACGATCTGACACTTTAATCAAGGTCAGTTTTCCCAGTATACATAGTTAGTATACATATATGTTCCCATAATATAGCTGACATATACATAAGCCAAATTCCTTTGGGACAGATGCACACACCCTACTTTATTTTATAATACATAAGTGAAGTATAAAAATAGGTCAGAGAGCAGCATGGTCAACAACAACCCGCTAACACAAAACATACTTTAGTGTTTTGACTCACGAAACAAAGAACCAAAAAAAATATAATGACAAAATAAAAATGCGACAGTAAAAAAAAAGAGGAGCACAGCTGAAAATGTGAGCAATTGTTGTCATATTCCTCGAAAATACATACATATAGAAATACATACATACAGCTTCAAGGGTTTGTGTCTTTTTGTTAGCTAAGGGTTCTTTTATATACCCTGAACACATTAAAAATTTATAGAAAGGGTATAATGGTTTTGTGCAAATGGTTGCAACAGTTAGAAGGCAGCATCTCCGACCCCTTAAAGTATAAATATTCTTGATCAGGGTCAAAAGCCGAGACGATTTAGATTTCAGAGACTTTAAGAGCTACAGATTACAAATTTGAGTTATAGGTTCTCTAATGCTCCACCCAGATCAAGTTTATCGATATCTGTCTCAGTTTCGCGAATATATATATATAGATACATAGCATAGCAATAAAAATTGTGCTTGTGAATAAAAACATGCGCTGCCTTATCTTATTTTTACTCTTCAGCACCTGTGCCAGCCATAAAAAGTGAGAAGACTTCCACTCATGCTTATATGTAAAACTTGCTTGAGTGTGCAAAACTTTTAAAGTGATATCTTGGCAATAAAACTGGAATTTATTAAACAGGTTGGCTTAGGCTATATCGGAGCGAGCTCACTCGACTACAGCATTTTTGCTTGTTTCTTGTTGAGGGGGTCACTTATAAAGCATGCAATGAAATTGCCAAGCAAAAAGACTTGACAAACTCAAGAGTTGTGAGCAATTTTGCAAATGAGAGTAAAGAACGTTTTTTTTTAAAGTAGAACATATCTATTACAGTGACACAAAAGGGGGTGGAGGAATGCGCTGATTGGGTATGATTTATTAGAAGATGCGCTATAGCAAAGTGTGATATTATATATAATTATATATATATATTGCTTAGGTAATTTATTGTAAATATTTTATTTATTTGAAAGCTAAAGATGCAAAATGTGATTTATTTGAGAGCTAAAGATGCAAAATGTGATTTATTTATAGAAATATCTATCCCGAATTCGATATGTAAAAGCTACTATATTTTCAGAAATAATTTAAATTTAGTACAGATTTTAAAAGACTAGAAAATAAATATGTGCCATAGATTTGTTTAATAATTGAATATGCCAAAGTCGTATGTTATTATTGATGTTAATGCCACTGAAATTGGACTTAATGTCGCCCCTTATTTAATCCTTTGTTAACCCACTAGCTTGCCCAAAGGGGTGTGCGAGCTGTGTGGTTAAATATTTACAGCTGATTTAATGACTGTCATGGGTCGCCGCAATGGAAAATACACAAAAACAAAGTGTTGCAATGAATGTGGGACGCGGCGTATGCGTAATGTGAAAATGTACAAGAGAACGCGTACAAAAATCAATAACAATGCATGAGTCGTGAGAGCTTGACGGAAAGATACCCTGAATTTTACGCTGAATAAATCACATATTCCAATTTTGTTGCTTATACAAATATATACAGTTGCTATCGGTAATCGATTTTTATCGATATTCGTGAGTTGGGAGAGTCATCAGACAGTTATGACTCGGCTATAGATGCTGGTCCATAACATATATATATATATATATCCTTTATAGCTTCGCAGCTGACTTCTTCTGTCTATTACATACTTGTGCACAACTTCATTCTATCCTTTGAACACGTTTTTAAAAGGGCATATAAAAGTTCTCCATATTCAGTACGTGTATGCAGGGCAGATTGCGCCCATTAAGAGCCTGACCTGTTTCTGAGGACGTTGCCAAGGACATGACTGACTGAAGCAGCTGCCGGCTGTCGACTTTCACAAAAGGTTCCCTTGAATTGCAATCATATCATTGATGACCAGCTTGTGGCTGGGGGTGTGTGTGTTGGTGTGAGTTTGTGTGTGTGGGAGGATGTGGGGGTGTGAGTGAGTGTGTGCTGTCTAGTTTTCTCAATTACCACAGTGTCTGACTGTGGCTTTGAGTCTGAAATTACTCGAATAGAGCACTATAAATAGAGATTGGCCAACGCAGAGCAATGAAGAACTTGTGCTGGCTTTGCGCAAATGCAATTTATATTCATTAATCCTGGATTCGGGGGGGGATGCATCTCATTTGATTCTAGGGGAAACAGCCCTTGACACCAGACGTGCTGCCCCGTTGAGAATGGATGAAATGTAGGCACTCGAATCCCACACGATGAAGTCTCAATAAACGCACTTGAGTCGATCCCATGCCACATATATCAAACACTTGACATATTCAAGGGTATGTCCATAATGTGTGTGGTTATAAAAGTAGTTGGCATAGCTGTGGTCAATGCTAGTTTTGGGTCGATAGAATTTCAGACTTAATTCAATGAAGATAGTTTTCATATGTTATTCATAGAACTTTACTGTGCACAAAATGAACATTTCGATTAAAATACTTTTGCAGACACTTGTCACAAGAGGACGAATGAAATTTGAATTTGAGTTCAACTTAAAGTTAAAGTAACAAGTGCAAATTAAATTTCAAACTTGAGGTTGAACTGATTTTAGTTTAAATTTAATTAACAAAATTGAAATCAGCTTTTAAATAGTTTTGAATTGAAAAGAAAGCATTTGCGTTGCTGATAATTTCCTATTGATGATTTCATAACTAATTTATATTTTGCTCATTCGCTTTACAGGCTGAATCACCACTACTGCCCCTGAGGGAGGAAGACGGGTCGACGCCCCGTCGAGCAAGCAATCCACACATATCAGTAACCACTGTAAAGAATAGAAACGAAACCGTTACTCCACACACGCCCAGTGCCACGCCCAACGAGTGCCGACGTCGCAGCTCGCTGACCAACTTTCCGCCATCGCCAACGCTCCACATCCAGGAAACTAGCGAACCCAACAACAACAACAGCAGCAATAACAACAATAACAACAACACCAATAACAACGAGGAGGAGTTTTACACACAGACTCCAACGCATAAGCATACGCCGGATTGCAAACATTATCCGTACGACACTTTTGCACGGCTCGAGGGCAAGTCAGAGAGGCCGAATACGAAAATGCAGAGCAAAGTGGATGCAGTGGGCCGCATTACCGGCCATTGGGGCAAATGGCAGCTGCGCACTGTGCTGCTAATCTTTTTATGCAAAATACCCTCATCATGGTTCATGGCATGCATTATATTTACGGCACCGGCACCACGGCACGGTGAATTCTTTTGCAAGCCACCCACAGACTTGGGTGCACAGAATCAGACGCAGTGGATCAAAGTGTCGCATCCGCAAAAGGAGGAGAAGGAGGATCAGGAGTTTACCATTGATTTCTGCAATGTGTACGAGGATGCGCAGGAGCATGCGCATCACTACTACAAATATGAGGACAGCGCCAAGGAGCCGCGCGTCTGGGAGAAGCCACACAATCGCTCCAATTTGATACCCTGCACAGAGTTCCAGCACGAGAGCAACTACCAATCGGTGGTCACCCAATACGATTTGGTTTGCTCGCGCGACATCCTCGTCTCGGTTACACAGTTCTTCCATTTGTTTGGTGTACTCACCGGCGGCATCCTGGCCAATCATTTGTTAAAATAGTAAGTCTGATTTATGGTGTTCTTTTTCGAAAATATATCGATAATTTTCATTTGACATTTTGCAGCTTCAGTCCACGCAGCGTTATGCTCTTTGGCATGATCACCCAAATCTTTTGCGGCAATCTAACGGGTCATGTCGCCTCTTATGAGCTGCATGTATTCTTCCGTTGCCTCTCTGCTGTCTGCTGCGCTCAAATGTACACCGCCGGTGGCATGATAAGTAAGTTTGCCATTACACAGCACTTTTTCTAACAATATCGATATAACTACAACTGTTACTGTTTCCAGTGTCGGACATCACGGGCGGCAAATATCGCACATGTGTCTCAACACTGTTCGAGCAATTCTGGTCGATTGGCGTTATGATGTTGCCGGGTGTGGCTAGTTTCTGGTCCAGTTGGTCGCACCTCTATATGGCCATCTCCTGGCCCACAGTGATACTCATCTATTTGTGGCAGTAAGTAACCTTTCTGTTTAAAATTGGGTTTTGAATCCATAGTGTTAAATAGCAGTTAGCATTTTTAGTATGGTGAATTTTTAAATTTAAATAGACCGACCCATAACAAAGATTTGAGATTTGAAATTAACCAATTAAACCTTTGTTTTGTAGATGGATACCCGACTCGCCGCGCTGGATGATTGATCGAGGACGTGTACAGGATGCCAAAAAGATATTGCTCGAATGCGCCGAAATGAATGGCACACGGCTCAGTCTTCCCCACGACATTGATCAGCAGCTGGAGTTGCAAGCACAAACAGCCATGGATGCCCCACCGCCCGCCGGTTGGTGGACCATCTGGAAGGGTAAGAAGGCTGTGCGTCACATAATCTGTGTACATCTCTCGTGGTCGCTATACATCAGCGTCTACTATGGCTGTCTGCTGAACATTCGCTCCTTCAGTCGCGAGCATCTGTATATCAACACATTTGTGGCTGGGTTCAGTGAGATGATTGGCACCTTTATTGGACTGTATCTGATAATGAAAACGACTCGTAAGTGGCTCTGGGCAGGCATATTTAATATACTGGCTGGCTTCTTTGCGTGGTGCTGTTGGCTGGTGCCGAAGCCGGGTGACGTTTCGCTGGATGCGAATGTTGCCATGCTCATGTGTACGGCTATGATCTCCAAAATTGCCATTTCCACATCACTCTCCATACTGACGACGAGCACCGTCGAACTGGTCGATCCCGAGAAGCGCAAGATTCTCGCCTTCTCGACGATATGCTGGGCTCGTTTCTGGCTGCTGGGTGCACCGTTCATTGGTGCCTTGGTTGTCGTTGGCCAATTGATACCACAGACTTCCTACACCGCCCTCGCCATCATTGGCGGCATCTGCATGTGCTTGATCAGTAGTCCGCGCACACATCCCATCTCCAGGCCGGCGTCGCCAGTATCGCATGTCGCCCAGAATATGGCCACACAATTTACGGTTATCGAGGGCATGGACAATAAGGGCTATGAGCCTAGTTCGAACTCGAGTACCATCTGTGCGACGAACAGTTTTAGAAAAATGGCATCACCACAATCGAATCTACCTCCACAACTAATGCCGGGCATTTGGACGACAAAGATACATGAGGACGGGCCCCCAATGTGATATCTATATGCAAAGTGAGGTTAGGGCAACAGCAACAAACACAAAAAAAAAAACAAATAGAAAAAGTAAAGTTAGAATTATTGATTTGTGTAACAACAAATCAAAACAGTTCAATCTAGTTATTTGATACACTGTCTTCTTATGTGCTATATATATACATATACACAGATGTAACTATCAGGTATCTTCGAGAACCAAAAACTTTTGTAATTGCACATTAACAAAACAAAAAAAACTTTTGCTATTTAAACTTCAAGCGCTATTCGCTTTGAGCAGAGTTATTCACATGCCCCCAATTTACAAATGAACTCAACTGACAACCACAAAAAAAAAAGAAATATAGACAAACCTAAAATGAATGCTCAAAAAATGAGAATATAATTAAATATAAAAACATTAAAAAATGGCAAAGATACATTTTTAAGTAGTCAAAGTTTTAAGCCTAAAACTATATATTTAATATAAATACTATTTGATTTCAATTAGAGAAAAGACGCTCGTAGGTAACAAACATATAGAAATGAATATAACTCTAAGTTTTAGAAAATATTTGCAAACTAATTTTGATCAATCATAAAGACACATAAAAACCACATACCAGGTCTGGAAGTAGACAAATAATATCTATATATATTTATATATATATGTATATAGCATCGTAAGACAAATGTGGAACATGCGGAGAGAATGAAGGCCAGTATTAATCTGAATGTGTAACATATGTCTCAAATCCAACAATGTACATACAAACATACTAATACGTAATTACATATATATATATATACATATATATATATATATATATATATATATATATATATATAACGCATTGTTTCCTATTAACTAATATCAACCAAAACTGATGATAATATATTTGTACTTACAAAGTCCTCTTGAGAACCCTGTAACTGTTCCACATTTAAGTGATTGTGTTGAAAACACCTGGAGAGAATTACATGAAAAGACATATAAGTAGTTACACTTAATTCTTTATTAATTAATTAATTAATAAAAACAATAATTTTTAATCAAATTCATATTACTTCATTACCATTATGTATTATCAAGTGCAGCAGAAAACCACAAAGCTAATTTTACATTTTAATCAATTAGTAGCTTTTCATTTTTAGTCACTTACATATGTACTTAATAACTCTGGAAAACAAAAACACAAAAAAAACATACGTACATACTTATATTTTAGAAAAATAACTATTTTAATAATGTATGCGCATAAAATCTCGTTAAATGTTAAATGATTATGGTTATTCTATGAAAAGAATGTTATGCATGGCAACAAGAGCAATATTTTTTTAATAAAGCATACCAAAAAATTATAAAGAATTCTTTGTGTTAATTATTTGAATGTAACAGATTTTTCAGATGCACCCTTGCGGCAGTGGCTCCGTAAGCGTTTGCAGATCCGCTTCGCAGCAGTTGCGCAACTGCTGAGCTGGAGCAGGGATGTATCGATGTTTCATCAAATACAACTGTGTTCCTTAACATATGTATGTATCGATATTGATATGTTAAGTAACAGCTGTGCTCTTCGGTTATTACATGAACCACCTAGCGGCTGTTGAACTTAAATACTAACTTCATTTTCTACATTTTGGCCCACTTGCAACCATCTGATAAAAATTATTTTATTATTTACCCACATTTTCTAGCTATTCGATTAGCAAATCAAATATAACGGATGTTTTACAGGAAAATGTAGGTGCGCTGTTAATATCAGTTCAGCGAAATGTTAATGTCAGGCAGCCATTATTCTTCTTCTTACTTGCGTCTGACTTCAAATTGTAGCGGCATTTTTTACGACGCGTTCCAATAAATTCGTTCTTATTGTTGAAACTTGCAGCTGAAATAAGCTACAATTTGTTTATTGTTATTGTTTTCCCGGTTATACACAATTTGTTGGCAATGGATTTCGATGAGCAGGAGATGGAGGATGCGCTACAAATGAATTTGAATCTCTCCAATCGCAGCGTGCTCAAAGAACTAAATACAAACGATGGCGGCACACAGGTAAGCATTAAATTATAATTCATCAATTAGCGTTGCTGCCGCGGCAAGTGCAAGTTCGCCACGGCAAATTAACGGTTCGCCGTTGAGCGGGCGTGCCGCTAAAAAGAAAACAAAATCAAAATATGAGAACACATTTAGCCGACATTCACTTTCTAATACAAAATGTGCATGTGTGTGTGAGTGTGTTTGCGCTCTGCAGTTTCGGCGTTTATTGGCAACACCGTCGACGCTGTGATCGATGGCTTCTTGTTGTTGTTCTTGTCGCACTGCAATCCGAATAAGTGTCCATTTTGTTTTTGTTGTTGTTAGTTTTTGACTTTGTCGTTGTTATTTCTCCTGCTGCTTTACATTTCATTTGCTTGTTTTTATTATTATGGCTCGTTGCTGCTGCCGCTACTGCTGCTGCTACTGTTGCTATTGCTGGTGGCACAGCTGTTGCTTGGCTAATGTTTCAGTATGTTCTAAAAGTCGCGGCGATCGGACGTTCACCAACATAGTTCCGCCCAACGCGCAATAGTATTACTTTATCATTCACCTCCCTCCCCCCCGCCCGCCACAAATGGGCAACAAGTCGGCCAAGCCATCGAGCCACGCCAGCGAGCCACCAACGTTGGAACATTGGCAACAGAATGCGGTATGCAAAGAGTGTGCGCAAAAAGAAAATATTCCAAATATATTCAGTAGCGAATACATATGTACATATAAATATCCATTAAATGTGCCATATTGCACTTGATGAGTTCAATTGTTTGTGCCGCACGTCGCCAGTGTCCAGATGTGCCAGATTGGATGCCAAAATGAAAACCGTGTCGAGACAACGTCAGTGCCGCCGCCTGGCAACTGTCAGCCCACCACAGTGAACGATCGCTAATTGCAACGATCCTCAAATTCAAAATTTATTTCTCATCTAGTTGGAATTGAAAGTACATTGGACGCTTAATAGTTATTTGTCACTGGAGAAATAGAAATATTATTTTAACATTTCCTGTGCTTCTTGTGGCTATTGTTTGATAAGAAGTATTTCTTTGAATAATAAGTAACTTTAGTAAAACAAACATCGCATTAATAATTACTAAAAAAAAAAAACTATTAATAATAATGAGTCAGTATCCACAGCACAAGCATAATATTGCTGAGCTGATTAAACATATTTCAAGCCTTCATACAGCATAAACAAAAACAAAAACTGACTGACTTAAAATTTATAAAAATAATAATATTGTGATAATTTTAAAGTTGTTTGATGATAGTGAAATTATCCTATTATTTCTTATTAAAGTATATATTATTTTTGACTGTGGCATCGACTGAAATGCTGAGTTGGGTTTTCTCATAACCCGTTCCAGGTTCAATCGCCCTTTTTTTTGGACAACTTCCTGCTCGCCATTAGAGTTCATTGGCAAGTAGCTAAAGATGCCCCTCAGCGTCGAGGCAGTTGTCTGCCTGACTGCTGCCTGCTGCCTCCCTCACAAAAGGCGCTGCTGTCTGCATTTGTTTTTGTCTATTTATAGGTTAGGTTCAAATTGGCTGCTCCCCTCCCTTTGTTATTGTTGTTGTCTTTGGCGTCTCTTTGCTTCTTTGACTATTGCATTTCGATTTGTTTTGATACCCTTTCACATGGACAGGCATAGACACATCTGTGTCATATTTGTAATGCAATATATACACTAGAAAAAATGACACTTAAATAGTTTAGTTACTGATTACTCCAAATTTACCGGTAATGTAAATCATAACCTCTTTTTTTTAATTATTCTATTAAATATGTTTTTCTGAATTTATACTGAGTACATTACAATCGCTAAATAAATATTGCGCTTATAATTGTGGGGCGTATACCCTCATTACTCATTATTAATGAACAATTTAAAGAGTTGTGATTGTAATTTACAGTAATTTAAACGAAACAGATTTCTTAAAACAAATTTGTAAATTTGTGAGTTTAAAAATGATTATTGATTTTTAAATTCAAGCATTGTTCTTGGCCCACTTTTAATGTGAAAGTGTTATGAGCTAAGAGCTTTTTGATGTCGGCTCCCTAAAACATTTTCAAAACGTATTTTGCACTTGGCTGCAACATAAACTTTTACTGTTTTATTATGTTCTTTATTGCCCCCTACTTAACTGTCTGATGTTGCAATCTGAATTCAATGTTGCAACGTTGCAACTGGGCAAACACTATCTTTGTCACCTGTCACGCATTGGTGGCGGCTGCTGCAGCTGCAGCTGTTTAGCACTTGCCTCTTGTCGCTTGCCGCTCGTCTCTCGTCGCTTTAGTTCGTCATGGCTTATCGTGTGATATTCAGTTTCTCTCAAAATATGCAAAATCAGCAACTGTCTGCGAGGGGTCGTGTCGGAGGGAGGAGGGGGGTGGTAAGGGGTATGTGGAGCACTTCCTCAAGTGCACGATGCGCAACAATGGTCGCTGCGGGATTGCATGTCTCTGTCTCTCCACATGTCACTTGGCATCCACATGCCACATTTTACAGGGTGCTCGCCCCACCTTTTTGTGTCGGTTGCTTGGCCTGCCAAATGCGGCTTTCTTTCATTAGTTTAAGCTGCTCGCCCTATTCTTGCACGCTCTCTTATTGTCTCGCTCTCTCTCTCTATCTCTATCTCTTCCGACAAGCGTTTTTGCATTTTGTGTACATTTTTTATTTCGTGGCATTTTTAGTTGGCGTTGCAAGCGCCTCTAAGACGGTTGCATTGTGCTATTGCCTTGTGGCAAGATCAATAAAATTGTCTAGCGTTTAATTAAGAGGCTTAAACAATCTTAATTGTATTGCATCCCCATTGCAACCACCCACATAACGGAATACTTAACGATTTAAGCTATTAAAAGGCCAACGGAAGATCGCTGATAAACAATTTAATTAAAAAGTGAGACTACGCGTATCGAAAAGCAAAGAGCATCGTTAGATTTGTGGCATATGCACTTACCACTTCAAATATTTAGTTGCTGCTAAAAATTAAAAAAAAATACTCCAAAATCTGGCATATAAATATGAAAACTTTTTAAATGAACAAATAAGCATTTCGCTTAATTTAAGGCTGTATAAATTTCAGAATATCGGCACATGATATCCCTACAAATAAGAGATATTTAAATTCTGAAGAATTTATTTGTATTTATTATTCATTTGAGTAGGAATAATAAACAGCGTTTCTAAAAAATGCAAAGTTATTCTTAGAGAGAAAAAATAATTTCTGAAATTAGGAAAATAGTAATTCAGGCGATCTTTTTCTGAGTATATAGACTAAGGATTGTTGAAGTGAAAGTAAAACAAACATTTAAAATGTCACTTGACCAAGATCAGTAATAAGAAACTGCAAATGGAATATACGAAATGTCAAATGCACAACCTTCTAACAATTGTCAGAGCCAAGACAAACACTTGAGAGACTAAAAGGGAGATAGTGAGAAAGAGAGGAAGAGAGAGAGAGAGAGACTGACTGATAAAGAGAATATCAACTTGGGGGTTGAGTTTGTTCCACAAGCAAGCAGAGAACACATAAAACGTGCACAGATCATTTTGTGGATGTCATTCGAATAAGTACCGTCTCTGCCCCTCTCTCTCTCTCACTTGCTATCCTCATCTCGGTCTCTCCCTGCCTGTGTAGTTCTCACAAATTGAAACGAAAAACAAAAATATTTTTAAATTGATTTCAAACAACGACGAAGCGCAGAGCAAGCAAGACACAAACAAGCGGCACAAAATGCGGCATACGCAATAAAAAAAATTACAAAAAGAAAAATCAGAGCTATTATTTAACGATGAGCGCAGGAAAATTGAAAATTTTCAAAAGCAGCAAACGACGACAACAAAGTAGGCGCGACTGTAGAACGCGGCGTACAGATTCTACATAGGCATTCGTAATATTTATAGGGCAAATAGTTTGATTGTTTTTCGTGTATATGCATATATATTGTGGAACGCGCAGTGAACCGATTTAAGCAAGACGCCATATACAACAACAACAAAAAATAAAAACCATAAAAACATCTTGGCAAACTCAAATCGAGCGTGGCAAGCAAGCCAAGTGTAATTAAAAACCAGCAAACACAATATGGATTTCCTATCGAATCTTATAAAGCGTCCCATCAGTATAGCCCTGCCCGAGAACGAAACAAAAACTGAAACTGAAATCGAAACTGAAACCGAAACCGTGTCGAGTAACAGCTCCTCCAGTGCGCCAACATCAATTGTTGCAAGCAGCGGCACAACAAAGCCCACATTCACCTCTACCTCACAAATAACATTAGCGATGAATACTGCGGATCTGGATGATCTGTTTGATTCGGCTGCACAGGATTTGGACATCCTGGAAGAGCAGCACAAACAAATTATCGAGAGCGATGTGGCGCCACTGGAGTGTGCAGCCCAGCAGCCGGTGCTGAAGCCCAACTATCCAAGGGAAACCATAACACAACTGCTCAATGATATCAATGTGAATTTGGATCAAGTTAGTGCCAATGAAATGGAACACTTGCAGGCAATGAGTCTAGAGGTATGTGTTGTGAGTGAGAGGCCGATAAATACTTTGTCATTTTGTGGATTGTTTTCAATACCATACACAAAAGATTATACACAGAGGTATGTGTGGAATGTGAGTGGGCGCCGTATTTGTTGTTGCTTGTCAACATTTTGCGTTCTACAGCAATTGGCAGAGGTTTGACAATTTATGGATTGCATTAAATTCAGCCTAAAGTAGGCAAATTGTCAAATATGCCAACTTATTGCTAAAAGTTTAAAAATTGCTCAACTATTTCGAATATAATCCACACAATTTTTCGATCTAGCAGCAGCATTTATAGATGATATAATTTATTTGCGTTGTTTTTGGACACATTTTTAAGTGTGAATTGTATTTGTTACATAAATTAAATTATAAATCTAACTGATCAACTCGCATTAATTCTAATATGAAATGCTAGTTTTAAATGCTACGCTTTTGTGTTTCACTTGATGGGAATTGAAATTGCCATTAGCCTAATTCAGTTCACACAGAAAACGCAATTTGTCAAAGCTGATGCTAATGCCAAAGGCGCACCCCAATTTTTTTCAAAATCTCCTCACTCTTCTGCCCCACCACTCACAAGCTGACTTTAACCTTGTTGCTTGCAATCGCTCTAATTAAATTTCGCGTGCATTGACGACCCAACCGACGAACGGACGGACGGATGGACGGACAGCAGCTGACTGCAATTGGACATAGTGTAGACATCGCCACACGCTCAGATTTAATTCCTATTCATTTATTTTTATAAACTGAACCCCCATTAAAAATGGTGAGAAGGGCATAATGGTTTTATACAGGCAATACTATATATATACATTCTTGATCAGTTTTAAATGTTGAGTTGATTAAACCTTGTCTGTCTGTATGAACAAGCCCAACTCTGAGACTATGAAACTAGACTAGAGAAGATTCGAGGTATAAGTTTTCACATAGCATAGTAACTGATCTCGTTTCGCGTCTGTCGATACAAATCGATTACCGATAGCTATAAAAAACACAGTTGTTAAGATGTAGCCTATCAATTGATTTATAAGCTACCCGGACATATTATAATATAATTGATCAACTGCAAAGGTTGCGAATTTTGCTAACCAAATAAATGTTCATAATTAACTACTATCAACAGCTGGCTACTGGGTATCTGCTAGTCGTGCTGTCTCGACTTTAGTGCAGTGTAATTTGTTTATTTTGCATAGCAGACGCCACCGCCGCCGCCAGGCGAGCGACCCACTTACCCCAGTCGCACCCCCTAAAAACCCGCTGCGTGTCCCGTCCACATATGCACACATCACACACACTTATACTCATACACACACATATATCTCACACCATCATGCTGGGTGCTTTTAAAATTAATGACATTTGCCTGGCCGGGCAACTGACCGACAAACGAACACTTCTTCGGCATTTATCTATGTGTATCGATGCCACACATTTGCCCAGGTTGTCTTGAATGGGAGGTCATTATATAGTATATAGTATGTCAATCGCATGTGCTGACTTAATTAAATAGGCATTCCACTTAGGTTGAACTGCGGTGGAATACACATAAGTGCGACCTATGCCTTTAAAGTAGTATTATGTAGGCTCTAGTTTTTTACACCTGACCTTACAGCTAATGTGCTCTACTTCAATTTCTTAAGCTGAGCTTGTATTTTTAGCATTATAAATTTAGCAGTATAAATTACTTATGCTTCACACAAAAGTTTAGCTTTTGTGGAATATATATTTTACCTAGTCTAATCATTATAAACAAATTATTATTAAATATATATCCAATCCACACTTCATAAAGGATTGGCTTATATGTAAAATCATCTCATAGTCTCAAGAAAGTAATTTCTTGGATTCTATTTAACACAATCCACAATATAGAGTATTTTTTATTTGTATATATCTTCTATGTGTTTGGGGACATTAGATTGACGGTGTTCGACCCTTAAGATTAGCCCAGATTGTGGCCTATTTTTGTCACCAGCTATGCGCCCCGCAACTGCTGTGCCAGCTGCCCCCATTGCCAATGGGGCACAGCTGCTTGCAAGAGAGCCAACAATTATGATCATGATGATATTTCAAATAGCCTGTCGGCTTGTTTACGTTTTGGTTGGGGATTTGTTTGGATTTGTTGTTTGCTCCGCTTAATTTATTTATTTTTCATAATATTTTCTTTTACGACGAAGTCGAGTCTCATGTCTCGCGTCTCAAGACTGTGTACTGACTGTGTATTGCGTTTTCTCTCGTTGCACACGCGATATGTTGTGAATTGAAAAATGTGCATTAATTAATTTGTGATTAACATTTTGTTCATTTTCTTTCCCATTCAATGCGTCGCGGTGTGCGCAGCTCAGTCCATTGGCGGTGAGGCCGAGTCCCAGACACAACATGGACCAGCAGAAGGCACTCATCTCAGCATTGCTTTGCCCCTCGCAGCCGGTCACGCCTACAACGCCCAACAGCTGCGAGCAACAGCCAGTGTTAAAGTTCACCGGGCTGCCCGAATACGATGAGACACAAATACCAGAATTGCCGCCACTCAGCGTCGACATGGAAGGTGAGTCAAGTGAGATTTGGAGATTCAAAAATGGGAGACAATTTTTTAAATTATTTTTGATTGCACTTCAGCTCAATTAAAGACGGATGCTGGTATGCCAACACTGAGCTCCACTGTGCTCAAGGTCAGCGAGCCGGATTACAATTCGGATTCGGATGTCTATGCCGAATGCCTCTCGCTAAACAGTGTCAAGCTCTCCGCGGATCAGTCCGAGCTCGACGCCTACGCCAGTGCTCTGAATGAGGTGCTCGATCACCATTTGTCCAATGCTACGGCCACCACACTGGAGAATACGCTGAGCGAGGCGGCCACTGTCTCCAGTCACAATGATAGTTGTGAGTCCATGGATGTGGATGACATAAATGAGACAATGGAAATGTTAAAGGATGTCCTCGCACCCGAGGATTGTCACCTGCTGCAGCAGCAGTTGTCCTCCAATGAGATGTTAAGGCAGCTACAAATCGAGCAAGTGCAGCCAGTTGCCAACGAGCAAGAAGAGCTGCAACACAAGCAAGTAATTTCAGCTTCAAACTCACCTAAAATAGAGCAAGAAGAGATGCAACAAATGCAAGCAGTTCCAGCTTCAAACTCACCTAAAAGGGAGCAAGAAGAGATGCAGCAGATGCAAGCAGTTCCGGCTTCAAACTCACCTAAAAGGGAGCAAGAAGAGATGCAACAGATACAAGCAGTTCCGGCTTCAAACTCACCTAAAACTGAGGAGAAGCAGGACATGCATATTGAGCAGCTGCTGCAGGAGCAGACAGCATCAGCTCCAATCTCTCCACCATTAGCCACAATGCAGACGCAGCAAACAGCTGCAGTTGCACCCACAATTGAGGAGCAACTGGTGGTGCCTCCAATGCTGCCTCCAATGTTGCCCACCTCACCGCCCATACCCACACATCGCACGCGGACAGCTGAGGAGTTGGCGGAGCTGAGGGCAATGGCGGCATTTGCAGAGCCACCAGTTACAGATGGAGGAGAGCAGCCAGCTACCACAGAATCTGTGGAGCAGAAGCAATTCCCAGCTAGTCCGAGCTTACCCATTGCATCAGTGGCACCCATGGAAATCAAACACACACAATTTCCAACGCTGACACTGAATATAACCAATCCGACGTCGCAGGAAAACATTTCGGCGCCCACATCGCCCGCTTTTCCCATCAAATCTCCCGCCGGTTCACCGGGTCACTTTCCACGCTCGCCGCATGCGCCGCCCGAGCACGAGGAGATGGACTATTTGGAACAGGCCATCATTGAGCACTCGGCTGAGCAGAGGTCGATTGTTGTCGGTGGCGTTATAGCCAAATCACCGCTGCCCGTGGAAGTGTTCGTATCGCAGCCAGATCCCGAGCAGTCCAAGGAGGCAGAGGAGTCTCCTTTGAATGACACCTTTGACAGCACAGCTGAGGCACTTACCGTAAGAAGACGTGACACATACGGGTTGCCACTGGATGATGCCAATGATCAGCAGCGTCGCACCTTCACAATTATTGAGCCAACGGAATCGAAGCGACGCACAATGACCATTGCAAAGAATGCATCGCCGGCTTTGGAGGCCACCGAGGCAAACATTCTGGGCGATGAGCTGGAGTCCATGGATGTAGATGTATCAATGAGCGTGGACACTACACTCTCAGCGGAGCATCAAGCGACAAAGACGCCCTCACCATCTCTGCAGCGGGAGATGCACTCGCCGCCCATGCCAACACATGAGCAGGAGCAGCAGCCGAAACAAGAGCCGCTGCGTCCATCTCCGCCGCTGCCGGCACATTTCAAGCGTCCGTCTATCCACAAAGAGCACATGTTAGAGGAGCAGACGCTCTCCGTTAAGGAGCAGCTGAGCGTGGGCGATGAAAAGGATGATGTATATGTGGATCACTTTGGCGCCATGTCACCCATCCCAGATGATATCTTCAAGGCTCCCCAATTTACCAGCAGCACCTTCAGCAGCATGGCCAGAAGCAATAATCAGGCAGCTGCTCCTGTTTCTGCTGCTGCTCCTGCTGATGATTCTACTGCTGCCGCGGTCCAATTTGATGAGGCCGAGTTTCACGATGGCGCCAGCAACAACAACAGTGAGTAACACGCCCTCCAAAGGCTACGCCCCTTATTAACTAATATGCATAACGAAAATTCCATAAAATTTTCACACTCACAAATTTGCTTAGTTGTGGTCAAGCGTTTCTCTTTAATTCAAATTTAACATATAAAAAAGAAAAACACTTAACCCACGCGCACATATATACATATATATATATACACATATATACACCCCTACATATACATAATTACAGTTGTGAAATAATAATAGCACCACTAGGACTTTTTTTCTTATGAATGACCAAAAAACCAAGCAATGGTTGTGCCATTTTTTTCAAAAATTAATATAGGTGTGAAGACAATAATTTGTTAGTTTTCGAAAAAAGTGTAAATATCATGTCCAACACATGTCGACATTATTTATTATTGCAAATCACTTTAATCAATTTGTTTGGCACATTTCTTTGTTAAAAGTCCATATTGAACATAAATGTAAGAAAATGTTAATTTCTCTATTGGTTTTGTAAAAGGTAAGATTTGAATATTTTCATTATAATAAAGGCTTAACTGAGATATAAAATAATATTAAATGGACAATGGACATCACTACAGGGCTAAGGATAGAAGATCAATGAAAAAATTAACAATTGCATTGCCACATCAATGGGAAGGTTTCAGAACTTCTTTACTTTAATGCTGTTACGTCCGAGACATGCAACCGATAATCGTATCGCGTTATTGGCTCCTTTTGAGTCATCAGTAGCAATTGAAAGAGAAATTAGCAATGGTGTAACCTACATCAAAAAAAAATTAGCTAGTCGAATATCTAGTAAAGTTCCTTTGCTTAGATCAGCAAATTTTAAGATGGGGGAAAAATTGAATAAAGCCATCTGTGAAAACATTTCTTGTGAGAGTGGTGCTATTATTTGTTGTGCAACTGTATATCCTCATTGATACCTCGTGCACGTCACCACAAACCGCTTGCATCGACATCCTGTAATATTCGTGACCTCAGCGCATCAGAATGTTGGCAAGGAGGAGTAGTAGTTGACGGGGGAGGGTCCTTGTTGGCTTTGGCATTTGAACTTGAAATGTGGGCACAAGCCAGGGTCGAGTTTTTAGTTTGTTGTTTGCATGTGCCGTCATGCTGGGGCTGGAGTAGATAGAGGAGTTCGTCTAGCTGTAAAAATAAATCACCACATGCAAGGCAATGAACCTGAACTTCAATACCACAACATAACGGCACACACGCACACAAACAGGAAAGAGAGCAACAACAACAAAAACAACAGCAGCAAACTCAACGTCAATTAAGCGCATAATTTTTGGCTGCCGCGCAGCTGTCTGCATGTTGTTGTTGTTGCTATTGTTGTTATGGCTGCATTTTAATGCAGGCGCTGGTCTTCGAAAATGCCGCATTGCCCCTTCACTCGCACTCACACACATGCTTCAAATGAGTACACTTTTTGCTGTATTACGCTCTCAATTTGACAGCACTTTGGCGCTCTCTCATTTTCTCGCTCTCGCTCTCCCTCTCTCTGTTCGCACTCGAACCCTTATCAGTATGCCGTAATCTTCGCACCAAATTTATAAACGCAAAGGTCTACAATGTGACGTCACGCTATCCAATTGATGTGCTGCTGTCTGTAAATTTTTTTCTTTTTTTTTTGCATTAGTTTGTGTGTCTGCCACCGATGAGAGCATCCATATTTTTGACTAATTAACGCAAGGCGTTGCCTAATTCGAAAATTTCTCATGTATACAAAAAATAATGTCGTTTAATAAGTTTTGTCCATTTTTCGCAAACTTTTACACTTCATTTGCTTTGATTGCCATTTTTGGATTTGCTATGATGAAATAAATTTTTGAATTGGGCGCACTAATCGTTATCGCTGACTTAACAAATGCAGCTCTGTGTTCCAATACAAACGCATAAGTGCACATCGTTGATATTCATCTCTCATTCACCATTCATAGAACCAAGTCCAATTGAAAGAGAGAGAGGAGACAGCTACAGTGAAAACAAGCTAACAGTGACGGAAGTTCATTCAAATTTGAAAGCAATCTTGTTTAACATTAACGAATAGCTGTCAATAAATATATTTAAAAATTCGTATACTTACATTACATATTTTTCTTGCTATTCCATCAATATTATTATATTATCTTCATAGAACATTGCAACTGTAGCTTGTCGAATGCAGTTAGTCGCTATCTCAGTCTCCTATGTTTTTCGTTCTCTCATACACATGAGCTCTCAGTTCGAAGTATGGGAATCTTGCATAGAACTTGCACATGAAGTGTTACTACGATAGTCAGCAAGAGAAGTCAGCCCCAGGAATATACAACGTGTACACAAATACACGCGCATACACATTCAAGATACACTCTCTCTGCATGACACAGCGACGCTCTCTCCGCGCTGGCGCAGCGCACTTGCTCATTGCATACGCGTCACTGTCAGAGTCCACTCAGAATCAAACCTGACTCGCTCTCTTCTCTGTATATGTATTTTTGTCTATAAGTGTGTGTCTGATTGAGTGCGTGCGCTGGTTTTCTTATTGGCATCAGAGAAAAAAGTAAGCATATTAGCATTCCATTTCAGTTAGTTTTCAACTTTTGACGCTGTCGCTGGTGCCACCGCGCACGTCGCTCTGCCTGCCATAAAGTCGCTAAATAACATTGTCTGCGCCTTTCTAACGTCGACGTCATTTTAACGGAGTACTTGCAAATGTAATTGAAAAATGTGCAAAGAAAACAAATATTTAATGTGTTACCAGCGCTTAGCAAATGTTTTCGATTTGTTTGCCCCATGAAAATTGCTTAAATTTGAGAAAATGCAAAGCAGCTGTGGTCTGTGTGCCCAGCAAAAACAACAACGACAACTTGCACAGTTACACAAAAGTGTCAATGACAAAATACCCAAAACCAAAAAAAAAAAGAAGCATAAATAAAGAGCCAAAGATGAAGACGTAGACTGAAGTAAAAAGTTGTTTTTTTTTTTTCAAAGAGAGCAAGAGCGTAATGCCGTTGCGTGTTTGTGTGTGTGTGTGCGTGTCGAACTCTGTATTGATGAGCAAGTGTTTCAGCCATAGTGAGTGAGTGTATGTGTGTGTGCGTGCGTGTGGGCGCTGCGTGGTCATGGTTAAAACTGCCTGTATTTTAATAACTGTAAAAAATCTTGAAAATGCAAAAGTTGTCAAGAAACAACAAACAGATAGACACGCAATTAAAACGCAGTGCAGTGTGAAAAAATATTGCGCTTAATAACCGCGCGCGCGAAAGAGAGAGAGAGCCACAGCTTTCTCAGCAAGTTCCTCTCTCACTGTCTCTCCCTCATACTCTTTCTCCTTTTGCTATTGTGTCTTGATGCATTGACATCAGTTTGTCAATTGTATCATTTCGAAAAAGAAAAAGAAAAAAAGCAACCCATTTTATTTTGGGCCTTCTGCGCGTCGTCGCTGCTATTGCACAAAATGACTCACAAAAGTCGCCGTTGCGGCTTCCTTTTCATATTTTTTGTTTTGTTCTGCAATTTTATATTTTGAGTTATAATTGTTGTTCGCCAGCCTTATCGCCTCACCCTGCTGCAGTTGAGTGACCTGCATTCGACATACCCTGTCTTTTTAAAATATTTTTTTATGTATCTGCGGGTTCTCATTTTACTATTTTAAGGCCGCTCCATTTGCCATTTGTTTATAGGTTGACCAAAATTATGCGGCTTCTGTTTGGTGACACACCTCAATTGCTGGCTTAGTTTCGGGGGGAGGGAGGTAATTGTCTCTTTCTCTCTTCTTTCTTTATATAGGGTAGGGCCACCTTTGAGTCATATGCCGCAAAGTTATTTAAATATCGCCATCCCTTCTTCGTTGACATTTTCCTTCCGCTTTTGTTTTCAACGCTGAAGCACACAAAGAACAAGAAAGAGTGAGCGAGAGAGGAAGAAAGAGATTCAGCTGCTTGTTGGGGATTAGGTGCGCTACAAAAATTCAAATAATGAGGTCCATTAGAACGGAAAACACAAAACAAACATGAATAGCATTGGAGGGAAAAGGAGAAAAGGAAATAAGAAATCGTCATTTGCATTCCTCACATTTTTACGCAGTGCATTTGAAAGTCGTTGATGCTTAAGCTTAGATTTTATTTGTGCTAATTTGTGTCAATAATATTGCTCTTTATCTATCGACATATCTACACACACAAGTATTTATAATATATTGTTTAATGCGACAAATTATCAAATCTGATGTAACATAATATAATACAACAGTGATCGCTCCCAAATAAGAATCGTTAAATTCCCTTAAACAGCACATTTGCCAGGGAATAAATACTGCACATATCCATAAATCACATATTAGAAACATGAATTGATTAACTAACTTTTTTCTTATCTTTCTGTCACCACCACAAATTCAAAAAAAAAAATCAAAACAAAAACAATAAACAACAACAAACAAATAAATGCACGCGCATGTACATACATCATATATGTCATTTTAATACACAAAAATGCACACACGATCCACACCCACACACAACAACAGTAATACTGAATTCATCGGATTTAGACTATTTATTCACCAAAGGCAGCAACAATGCGCCCATCGATCGCAGCTCGTTGCTATTAAAATTCGATCCGCTTCTGGGTGCTCCGGTGCCAGTGAATCAACAATCGCAGCAGGAGCAAACGCTCCACAATATTCTAAGCAACATCAACAACAACCACAAGAACAGCAACAACAAAAACAATAACAATTATAATAATCTAACACGTGCTTTGAGTCCCACATTGGAGGAGCACGATTCGAGCGGCAGCAATCAGTCCGGGGAAATAACAAAAGTGAGTTTGTTGTTGTTGAAATTAATTCAGAATTATTTAATATACATCATATATATATTCTTCTTAATCATTGCAGAAGCATGCTAAAATGAGTGTGGACGTTATTGATAACGATTGTAACAAAACCTTCGACAATTCAACGTAAGTGAAAATCGCTTTGGATCAAATGTGGATCGTGGATGTGTGATTATTAATATTGTATTTCTTAGCCTGAACTCGGAGGACAAAACACACAAATACCACAACATGGATGAACTGGAGAAGAAAATCAAAAATGAAGTGTAAGTTTTTGTGGATTTTGAAGTGTGGAACGTATTGTATAAATAATTATTACACGTTCCTTAGCACCCGCTCCGAGGACATTGAAAACAAACTCAAAGAGGCAGAACAGCGCGAAGAGGCGCTCGTCAAACGCATTACAGAAAAGGACAAAAACAACTCAAAGCTCAAGTGAGTGTAATAACACAAATCGCTTGAATTTATCCAGCAATTACTTACAAACAAACACTTGCAGCGGCGTCATTGAAGCCTACGAGAAAGCCATTGCGGAGCTAATCCATGACAAGGAGCAGCTGGTACAAAATCATGAGAGGCAAATGTTGGAGGTGCAAACAGATCGTGATTCCAATTACACACATTTAATGTCGCTGGAAACGACATTTTCCGATCTCCATGTGTAAGCCCCTCAAATAGTAGTCGTAGTCTCGATATTAATTTTAATTACTCGTGTTATTCATGCAGTAAATATGAAAAGAGCAAGGAGATGACCTCACACCTAAAGCAGATCGAGGAAAATCTGCTAGAGGAGAAGAAGAAAGTGATGGATAAATTGCGACAGCAGGAGCAGCGATACGAGCAAATGAAAAGCCATGCCATGCAGCAAATGGAAATGTAAAGAAAATCTATAAACAAATATATATGAAAATATGCCAAAATTAATTTCCCAATCACATTTTACAGTGCAAACAAAAAGTTGGTCACCCTTACAAAAGAGCACACGGATGAGGTGAAAAAGTTGAAAGCATTACTCAAAAAGGAGGAAGTGTCGCGCATCTCGACCGCCGAGCAACTGCAGCAGAAATCGCGGGAGAATGCCGATCTGCTCAAGATATGCGAGGAGCTCATCTACGACAAGGGACAAGGAGGTAGTAGTTAAACTTCACCCCAAGTTGGATTGATTATTTTGCGGCCTGAATGTATTTTCATATATATGTATATATATATATACATATATATTTTATGCTGTAAACGCGCACACAGACACATACACATACACATACTCAGCACACAAACACCCTTACACATACTTATGGCATGTGGAACGCATGTGTATCGCATGTTCTTCACTATCTCTCTCATCACATTTTGTAATCTTTTGTTGTGTGCTCTCACGAATTGATTTGAGATACTCATATTAAATCTCAATTATTATGCTCGAGGCCTCTAACTATCCATATAAATATATATATTGTACTATTTCTAGATTTTTAGTTGGCGTTTTCTAGTTTACAACAACAACAAGAACAATCTACACGTCCCCGAGCAGCAAAAGAGTTCCAAGCACACACACTCAGATACACACACACACACATACACGCCTTACTCTGGTTCCCCCAACAAAATGTTACTTATTTCTTTCGAATCTGCCTTTCGATTAAGTTCAATGATATTAATCGCCCTGTTTGCTTGAAATTCTCACAAGCAGTTTTTCATGTCAAATTCCCAACAAAAAAGCACACGAATAAAATGAAAATGGGAATATTGTGACAACTAAAACAGAAAAAGAATATGAAAAAAAGAAAAAGAAATGAAAACAGCGTACGCTTGAGGCGCCCTTTATTAAATGTCTAAGTTTACAATTAGTTTAATTTAAATTAAAACTTGTAATAATTGTATTAGAGCATATTTAATTCTGTATTACATAATAGTACTAAAAACAACTGCATAGAAAACGGAAGCAAAAAGAAACCATAACGAACCATTAAAAAAACAAAAAACATACACAAAACAAAAACTATTTATATATATATATATTAAAAGGAAAAACCTACAAAATAACTGAATATATGCAATTTTTTATTGTTTTATTATTACAGCTTGTTACGAATTATTTGCTGAGCGCACTAAAAGTGGTTGCCTTAAAAAATGAAATAGTTGAATTAAACAAAGATAAACAGACAACCATTAACCCATCCCCTTCCCGCCTCACACACAGACACACACATACACAGAGAAAAACTCCACAAATTTTAAGCAATTTTTATATTGTAGCACGCTTTTTGTAGAGTAAACCGCCTCTGAGAACTCTAAATGAATTTTACTTCCATTTTTTGACATTTATTAAGCTGTAAGAAGTTGACAAAAAACAAAAATCATAAAAGTTGTTAACACAAAAAAACCAAGAACGTAAAATGAAAGAAAGAATTGTATACAAAATTTGTACCCAGTCCATGTAATCGATTAATATGCTACTACACCAACCAACCAAGCAACATATATATACTATATATTTTTCTAAAGTTGTAGCAAACAAAACTCGCGCTTACACAAAAAAAAAAGAATTGAAAACAAAGAAAAACAACGTTGAGAACTTGATAAACGCAAATTAGTTTTTGTTGTTTGAGATTTAATATGGAGACAAACATGATATATATCAATGCGCTGTAAAAAATACACATAAATAAATAGTATTAAAACATGCACATACACACACACACATACACACAAATGTATGTGTGCCGAAGCATGTGCATGTAAAGGTGATGAACAAGTTGCATAAATCAATAAATAACATATGTATGAGTATAATTGCAACTGAAATTTCAATTTTCCATTGGGTGGCAACGTTGAAGGTGATTTGAGGCAAGTGCTGGCCTTGAATGTTGCCTGTAAGGTGACCGTTCGGCTTGCCAAATACAATGGGCAGCACAGACGACTGGGTGGCAACGCCAAAACCAGCTGAGTAGCGATCTTGAACCCTATTGCTCTCCTGCTCGCACACGTGTGCACTTGTTAATCAAACCACGCAAGAAAAACAAACCAGAAGCTGCGGCAGATGCCCAGATTTGAAGCCAAGCAAGTGATTACATAAGCAATTATTTCAGCTATGAATTTCGCCGGAAAAGTTGTGCTAATAACCGGTGCTAGTTCCGGCATCGGTGCCGCCACAGCGCTCAAATTCGCCAAACATGGCGCCTGCCTGGCGCTCAACGGACGCAATGTGAAAAATCTGCAACAAGTGGCGGATGAGTGCAGTGCCGCTGCTGGCGGTGTCATGCCCACCCTCGTTGTGGGCGACATCAGCAAGGAGGCAGACACGGAGCGAGTGTGGCACGAAACCATACAGAAATTTGGCAAACTGGATGTGCTGGTTAATAATGCTGGCATCATTGAGACGGGCAGCATTGAGAACACCAGCCTGGACCAATACGATCGCGTGATGAACACCAATCTGCGTGCCATCTATCACCTGACCATGCTGGCCACTCCGGAACTGATCAAGACTATGGCCAAATTTGTCCACCTTATCCTGTGTGAATGGCTACGCTCGTTTCCCGGCGTGCTCGCCTACAATCTGTCCAAAATGGGCGTGGATCAATTCACGCGCTGCGTCGCCTTGGAACTAGCTGCGAAGGGTGTGCGTGCCAATTGCGTCAATCCGGGCGTAACCGTTACCAATCTACACAAGCGCGGCGGCATGGATGAGGCCACTTATCAGAAGTTTCTCGAGCACTCGAAGAACACTCATGCCCTAGGCCGACCCGGCACCACCGATGAGGTGGCCAACGCAATTGTATTCTTGGCCAGCGATCTGGCCACCTTCAGCACGGGTGTCAGCCTGGCTGTGGATGGCGGCCGACATGCCATGTGCCCGCGTTAATTGTAGCTGGAGCAGTGGTTGGGTGTCCAAGATTTTCAATAAGACAAATTGGAAAATACTGGCGACAAAATTGTTTTGCCTTTTACAGTTTTTTATATTTTAAAGTTGGTTTGAATTTTGCATTTTGAATTAAGAAAATGGAAAGCATTTTTTTTTTTATTTTTGCTTTAATTTTTCGATCAATCTAAAATTCTCTTGCCTATTCATGTTCCAAAATAAACTAAGATACTCATCCAAATTCTGGCAATAGAAAACTCAAATCTGGCCAAAGAATATTTGATGCATTTATTTTGTGTCTTAAAAATAAAGCTGCACAGAAATTGAATATTTTTTTTCTAGTTGTCTCCATTCAATATTAAATTGAAAGTAGCGCCCCGTTTTTACTCAATCTAAAGCTCAAGCTCAACGTGGACACATGACATGACGACCGCCGTCCACTGGGAAATTGACGCCCGTCGTGAAGCTTGCCTCATCGCTGGCGAGGAATGCAATTGCAGCAGCCACCTCCTTCACATCGCCGGGACGACCCAGAGCGTGGGTTTGCTTGGTGCGCTCCAAAAACTGGGCGTAGGCAGCGTCATCGAGACCGCCACGCTTCTGCAGCTCCGTGACGATGACGCCAGGATTCACAGAGTTCACACGAACTCCCTTCGTAGCAAGCTCCAAGGCGACGCAGCGCGTAAACTGATCAACGGCCGACTTGGACACATTGTAGGCCAGGACACCGGGACAAGAGCGTAGGCCACACGCACTGGATACGTTGACAATGTTGCCCTTGGTCTTGATCAGCTCCGGGGAAGCCAACATGGTCAACTGATAGAGGGAACGCACATTGGTGTTCATCACGCGATCGTATTGAGCCAACGATGTATTTTCAATGGTGCCCGTCTCAATAATGCCAGCATTATTAACCAGCACATCCAGTTTGCCAAATTTCTGCAGAGTAGCTGCCACAATTCGTTCCACATCCTCCTCCTTGTCCAGGTCCGCCTGCAGTTGCAGCGCAGCAGCGCCACCTACAGCCAGAATATTGTCGGCGGTTTCTTTCAGTTTATCCACATTGCGTCCAACAATTGTGAGCAGACCACCAAGGCTGGCCAGGTGCACGGCGGTGGCCGCACCTATGCCCGAGCTGGCGCCTGTCACGATAATCACCTTATCTTTGAAATTGGGCATTTTCGTGCGTCTGCCTTAAATGGTGGTTTAATTGATAATGACAAAGCCTACCGATATCTATGTTAACTGTTGGCAACAGCACTCAAAGCGCTGAGCTCGATGACAAGCTAAATCGATAGATGGCGCTCTCTCTCTCTCTGTGAGAACGCGAGTAGCGATAGATAAGAAATTTTCAAATATTGACTTAATCGATATCTAGCTCAATCGATAAGTTGCTCTCTCTGCCTCTCTCTATCTCTTTGAAAACTGAAATAGTGCAAGCTAAGAAAACATATGTTGGCTTAATCGACATATATCTAAATCGATAGAAGACCTTTTATCTTTTTGTTGTTTTTGGCGGTCTCTCACAGCTGAAAGTTGTGAAATTTGAATCGTGATCAGAACTGCTAATTAGCTTTAAATTTATTATAAAATTTACTATTTTAAAAAATGCCAATTGCCAACAAATTCATACACATGTTCACATATTTATTGTTTTTTTTTTTTAATTAGCGCGGACACATCGCATGTCGTCCGCCGTCAACCGGCAAGCTGACGCCTGTTGTGAAACTTGCCTCATCGCTGGCGAGGAATGCAATTGCAGCAGCCACTTCCTTCACATCACCTGTACGACCCAAGGCATGTGTCGTCTTTGAGTGTTCCAGGAAGTTTTGATAGGTGGCTTCGTCCATGCCACCCCGCTTGTGTATATTGGTGACAATGACGCCCGGATTCACGGAGTTCACACGAACACCTTTGGGAGCCAGTTCCAAGGCGACGCTGCGCGTGAACTGATCGACGGCTGCCTTGGACAGATTGTAGGCGAGCACGCCGGGAAACGATCGTATGCCATTCACACTGGACACGTTTACAATGTTACCCTTGGTCTTCACCAGCTCCGGTGCGGCCAACATGGTCAGTTGATAGATGGCACGCACATTGGTGTTCATAACGCGATCGTATTGAGCCAACGATGTATTCTCAATGGTGCCTATCTCAATGATGCCCGCATTGTTCACAAGCACATCAATACGTCCATGCTTGGCCAGCGTGGCAGCAATAATTCGCTCCACATCCGCCTCGTTGTTCATGTCCGCCTGCAGTTGCAACGCAGAAGAACCTCCTGCAGCAAGAATCTTTTCTGCGGTTTCTTGCAGTTTCTCCACATTGCGTCCAACGATGGTGAGCAGACCGCCAAGGCTGGCCAAGTGTACAGCAGCACTTGCCCCAATGCCAGAACTAGCACCAGTAACAATAATCACCTTTTGCTTAAAACTTGGCATGACGAAAATCAGGGGTAGAATGCAAACAGATCGAAGGCAATCGATAATAGTTGCCAGCCAGAAACGATAAATGCTTCAGCTTCGGGAAAAGCTGCAATCGATCAGCTGTTCAACCCTTCCACTTGGAAAACCACAAAAAAAGTTGCTCATATAAAATAAAAAAAAAAATTTTTAAATTAAAACAAGCTGCGCTGGTTTTTTTAAACTTAGATGTTTTATTCTTCTTTTAAAAAAACGCTACGCCCCAAACACGTAGACACTGCCGGTGCTGTTGTTAAACCTCGTAGCCGTAGGACTTGATAATCTTGTTGAAGGGCTCGGCCGCCTTGGCAATGTTCTCGCGCGCCTTCACCGTCAGCTTCTTCATCTCTCTGTTGTGCTTGAGGGTGATGTGGAGCTTGGCCTTTCGTTTGCGCTCCAGACTCTTGATGACATCCTGATAATGCCAGCCGACCTCGTGCGACAGACGACCGACCATGCAATATTTGCGGTCGGAGCGCAGAGTCAACACACGCATCGCAATGGGGACAACGACGCGACGACGCTTGTCGTACGGTGATGGAATACCATCGAAGACACGCAGGCGCGCCAAAGCAGCCTGGCCACGCTTGGTCTTGTGTGGGATCATGCCTGCAAAACACAAAAGCAAATCACATTTAGTCGGCAAACCAATTATAGATATAAATATAGAACTATTGTTGGCTGTTCAGTTCTGCGTTGGTTACACGATTTCTCGTTCAAATAATGTAGGTAAGAATATAATAATCATCATTTAAAGGACAAGCTGCAGTCGCAATTATCGCGTGATATAATAAACATACCTGCAATTGAAAGTAAACAGAATTAATAAATGTTTATATTTATAATAAGGTAATTCAATTCATTTGTTGTCTGCTTCTCAGTTTCTGTTTTTGTTTACATGGTTTCTACGTTCAAATAATGTAGGTAAAAATGTTTAAGCATCATCAAAAACACAACAACAAATAAATGAATAATTCATTTTTAAACGCACCTCGCACCGCCTTGTAGAAGATTCGGGATGGGGCACGGAAGTGGAAGGGGCCACGAGCCGGATTCACGTTGCAACGTTTGCGCAAATAGGCCAAAAACTTAATTTTGTTCCTGTAGAAGTGGCCAGAGAGGTTCAGCTCCTCGCAGCGCACCACGGCTACCTTGCCGCCCTGCAACAGGTACTTGGCGACAACGGAGGCCAGGCGGCCCAGTAAATGGCCGCGACCATCAATAACAACGGTCTGCAGACAAGCAAAAAGACAAATTAAAAAAATAACAATATAATTGGTGCAAAGTGAGGTTAAACAGAGCGGCGCAAAGCATAAACAAATGTGTGCAATGCACATTAAATAGCTATAAAATACACTATAGGTGCAATTTGCAGCATTGAAGCCACTTTAATTCTCACATGTTTTAATCAAATTTTATTTTTCTTTTTTTTTGGCTAGCGTTTGGGCACGTGTACAGGAACACAACTTTCGCGCACTCAAAACAACGCCAAAACGCTATTAAACTATCCATTAATGCATATTTGCAGATACAGCATGGTATAATTAATGTTTTGCACACATTTGTTTGATTGCGCCGATAAGTTAACACGGTTTTATTTGCCAAAATGGTGGCACTTACCCTGTTCGTTAAACCAGTCATGTTTAAGAACCGCACGGAAAGAAAGCGGAAATCGCTTTGACAGCTCAAGCGTCATACGGCAGGGTTGATTTCGACATTCGCACAACGACAAAATGCTCATTGCTGCACGCATGCATTTTCGATAATTCAGCAATTGTACTTAAAACTCGATTTTAATTCATATCGCGTTTTATGGTTATTCACGTGTTATGTGTATACGGTCAGTCTGCAAAAACATTTATTTTTTGGTGTGTTTTTGGCTGCGACCGGAGCGGATCGTTGAGAATCGTGTTTCCCCAATTTGTTTACACTAAACTAAATTAAACGAAAATATAAATAAATACGTACTGTGAAAGACGACCAGTCAAGTTAATCAACCAATGGAAATGTAACGCGCGTGCTGAGTTCAGTGTTTGTGCTAAAAGTGTGCTAAGCACATAAACAGAATTGAGATTTGCTAATTCTGCTTCTACTATTTAAACACAAAAGCACCCACCCACCCCCTCAAAAATCATAATACCGACAACAGATAAGCAACAACATCCAATTAGAAGCAGCGGCAGCAACAGAGGCAGCGGCAGAACGTCGACGTTTTTGGTTGTCGACAGGAAAAAGTCAACACCTTAAAAGGCAAGTCTTATTTTTTTATTATAAATACATGTAGAATAGAAGGTCGATCGAGGGGTTGCGGGGGAGGGTCGGAGGGGAGAGGATGTGCATAGACACCAAATCAAATTCGAGTGCATGTAAACATATGTGTGTGTGTGTGCGTGTGTGTTTCTGCTTGGCATAATAATTACTTTTTATTCTATCGTTTTAATTAAATGCAATTCACAAAAAAAAAATACAATGTCTGTCTGTCTATCTGTCGGTGGGAGCTTTTTCGTGTTTCTGCTTTGCCGTCTCTTCATCCTGCCCGGCTGCCAGTCTTTTGACATTTTGCCTTTCCCCCTATTTTGGCAGCGCCAGTTTTTATCCAACTTGCGGTTAACATTTCTTTTTTTTTCTTGTGCTTTTGCTAATTTTTAAATTAGGTCAATGCATGCGTCGACCGATTTACTTGGCTTTTCCGTCTCTCTGACATGTATTTTTGGTTTGTTGTTGTTGTTATTGTTATTGTTGCCGAACCAGTTTCTTAACCTTGTTTCCTTTCCAAGTGCAATTGGCGTTTGACTCTTGCTTTTTTGACAATTTGAATGTTCTACTTTTGTATGTGTATATATATGTATATATATATATAAATATGTACGCGTGTGTGTTTGTTGTTGCGTGTTGGTTGCCAGTGACAACTTAATATAACGGCATTAATGAGATTTGCTGAATTATGTGTAAATAACATGCAAAGCAGTCGAACAGAAGAACATTAAATTAATATTATATATGATATTCTTATGTATACACATTTTTTTATCTGTATATAATATATACATTTCATTTTTCAATCATATATAATAAGAAATGTGTGTTAATTTTCAATGAACGCTCCTTTTTCTGCGTCACAAATGCATCTCTTCTCATTTATGCGACATTCATGAGTGTGAGTGAGTGAGATAGTGCAAAGGGTGCTTTTAAGATTTATTCCAATTTCAATTAGAGTTTCAGTGCGAAAATAAGAAAAGAGAGAAAAAAGAATCGAACAGCTGTTAAGTGCAGCCAGTGATGGTAAACGCGCTGCTGATCGATTTGTGCAAAATGTTTAGAAATGTTGAAAAAATAAACACGCAAACAATCAAACTAAATGTAAGTATATATTTAATATTTATATATATAAAATATGTATGTCTCATTGTGTCTTGCAGATGTCAAATCTGAACTTTTATGAACTGCTCAATGCGAACGCAACGGCAACTTTTGAAGAGCTTAAACGCAATTATAAGCAATTAATACTACAATGTCATCCCGATAAATTACAACAACAAGCTGTAACTGTAAATTTCAATGAGAGCGACCCAAATCGAGAGAGCCACCACGACAGCAATTTCAATGCGATAAACGAGGCCTGGAATACACTGAAAGATCCCATCAAGCGTAAGCATTACGATGCCGAATTATTGCAGACGAAATTTCAAACGGAACACAACAACATGTATGCCAGCATAACATTTAACGATATGCAACGCATGCCAGTTGAAATCTTGGAAGAGGAGCAGGGGGAGGAGAAGGATGGAGAGAACACAAATATAGACAAAGACTGGAACTTTGCCTATGCGTACAATTGTCGCTGCGGCGGTCAATATTTGCTGGATGAGTCACAGAGAAGGGAGGAGTTGGAAGAGAGAGCAGCAAGTGAAATGATTGTGGAGTGCAGCGAATGTTCTCTGGTGATTGTTGTGAAACACCAGACAAATAAACCGTAAAATAAATGCATATGTTTGTAAACTTCTTGTACACGTTTATTTTTGGGCCTACATAAAAAAAAAACAATATTGCAATATTGATTTGCATTTTTTGACTATTGAATAAAGCGCTCATTTCTGTTGTTTCTTTTGTTATCATCTTCGTTTTTGTCAGCTAAGCGTTTTCTTGAACCTTTAACATTGCGACGCTGATGCATGTATATGTGTGTGTGTATGAATGTATGTAAAACTGGTTGTGTTTTGCATATATTTAATGCCCTTCCTTTCTTTTGACATTTGTGTTTGACCAACAACAAAAAAATGATGTAATATATATCGCATCGTGACACACACACATAATTTGGATTGCAATCACAGCACAACCCACCATTTTTTGTTATTCATTTCCGTTGTGCAAAATCGTTAGCCAAATAAATGTCTTTATTTTTCCTTCTTTATTATTTTGGTGGTGGTGTGTTGTTAAGATGGTTTTTATGCCTTTGACGCGTGTGAATTGTCTTTTAGCGCATTATGTGGGTCACATTAAAATTGCCAAATGCGTCTACAAAAAAACTAATGTTACATCTTACCCTTTCCCCTCCCACCCCCTCCCCCCAAACAGAGCCGCATTTTGAACGACAAACGGCGGATTAGACACAAAAAAAAAACTTGCGTTTTATGCGGGTTAATGTTGAAAAGCTTCTTCGGAAACGTTTAAGACGCTTCTGAAAGTTTTCTATCTGTGTATGCTGTGCGATATCTGTTGCTCAAGTGATAATTTAATACAATGTAATATTATTTTATATGTTAGTTTATAAGTATGTGTAGGTTGTGTGGAGCTATGCAAATATTTTCAGTTAATGCACGTCACACTTATTTATAATTGCACATTTTTGAGTCAAGTGCAAAGTTTGTTGACTTTTTTCCAGTACAGTGGTCCACTTTCTGCAAGTCAAATTTGGGCATATCGAAAAAAAACGAAATATTCCATTTAAATTTAAAAGCATCTACAGATGTCAAAAACAAGAAAAGAAGAAGAAAAAAATGTTTAACAAAAAAAAAACAGAAAATTCCAACTGGAAGTTCCAACGAAATTAGATTTACTGCTGCTAAAGCTTCTAGCTCAACCGTTACGTGAACTAATCACTTTTTGAACAAAAACACAAAAAAAAGGTTAAGCGCCTTAATTTAGTAAATTTTTATGTGCGTTTGAATGTATGTAATGGTAATTACTGTCAGTTTTTTTTTCTACTTTTTTTTTTTTGTTTTTGGCCGAGCGAAATTCAATAACCTCGCCTGGTTTTTGCCGGCTTTTTGTAGCTGATCTGATGATGTCAGCAACAGCAAAAACAACACACATAAAATGGAACTGTATATGTATAAACATTTGCGAGAAACAGACGCATGCACAAGCTGATTGGAAATCCATTTGTTTATGGATATTATTGCAAAGTGATTTGCATGTTTGCTTCTTTTATTTTTCTCGGTATGTTAAAAGGCTCTTTGCTGTTCGCTGCTGCTAACTCGTTTTTCCCCCTCGTTTAGTGCATATAAGTGCGTCTGTGCTTTATTGATAATTAACGGTGTCTGAGCTTTCGTTTTCTTGATAGAGCATCGACTCGATTTCCAGCAGCAACAGCAGCAGCATGTTAATTACGCCGCCTGACGACGTCGAGGAAAACAAAAGCGACTCACACAAACACACAAAACATGCAGATATATTTGTATATAAATTGTATGTGTATGTTTTATCTCTTAAAGATCGCCCACTTTAATAACCTTTTGACACACAAAAATTGAAACGCTTTAGCGCATTTGCTGTCTGTCTGTCAGTTGTCCCTCTCACTCTCTCTCGCTCTCGCTCTTTCATTGGTTACGTCTTGTTGTTGTGTGACACGCGCTGCGATTTTATAGATAAAGCTCACTGACAGAAGTGCATACAATGATGTCCCACACACACACGCACACACAACTCTAACTGTTTTACAGAGCTTCCATCTACCATCTCCGTCTCTTTATAGCACTTTCATTTCGTTTTCACTGCGCATTAAAGACGCTCGAGCAGCTTTAATTGCTCAAGAAAATGGCAGAAGCGAACAAAAAATAAAACACCGGCACAAAATAACAAAAGTAACAGAAAAATAAAAGCAATAACAACAACAGTAACGGAGAGTGCATGTCACATGTTGCGTGTGTGTGAAGCGTGCGTAGAAAGCTCAAGAAGTTTTGTGGCTAAGGAAGTTAGTTGTCACTTCAGACAGGCAGGCAGACAGGCGTCTGAACTAAAACTTCCCGCTTCCAACAGTTCTGACAAGCCACTCACCATTCCAGTCACCCAGTAAGATAGAGCATATACAATGAAAATAGTTGACACATTCACTTCCAATGCTGATTAAAATACTTTTCTATAACTGAAAGTGGTTTCTTGCATTCAGTTCCTTCAACTTGAACACCGTCCTTGGAATGAATCATGTTGCACTTTATCGGGCAACAGCTGACGATTCATAACTTGTTTTTATTTATTGATTCAGCTGAACTGTGCAAAAACAAGCAAAAAGAAAACCGCAAAAGCGATATTCATAAGTAAGTGATAAACGCGAACGCAGCTCGCCAAGTGCTGAAGTTCTATTTTTTTTTCCTGTTATAGTATTGTATTATTGTTTTTTTTACCATGCTTCTTACAATCTTTTTCTGTTGTCTTGTCTACGCTTTACATCTTTCTTTCATTCGATTTTAATTACACAAAAGTGCCAATTAATTGTGGCTTTTTTTCTTGGCTTTTTGTTTCAAACGTTTTCTGCTGCGAACTGTTGTCGAGCTTAGTTTTAGTGCCCATTTCATTCCTTTTGTGTGTTCTTCTGGCACATTTCCAGGTGTGTGTTGTGTGTTTGTTGTGCGCGTAACCATGTGGAAAGATGGCAACAAGTAGAGCAGTCAACAGTCCAACACAAAATTCAAAAATAAGCAATTTAAAAACACCCAGCAAACTATTTAAGTTTTTTTTGTGTGTGTTTTCAAATGATGCGCTTTGGGGCCTAACTGGAACAGCTTTCCGAATTTGACTAATGGCTAATAATGGATATTTTACTTGCAGGCAAACGGACGCGTGTATTTCCACGCGTAACAACGACTTCAATCTGGCCGGAAGCAGCAGCAGCATTTCCAATAACCATTACAAGACTGAACGCCAGCCATCATCATCGTCCGGGAAGCTAGCACAGAAGATGGCCTCCACTGGCGAAATATGGCTGCAGTGGTTCTCCTGCTGTTTCCAGCAGCAGCAGCAACGCTCTCCCACCCGCCGGCCACATCATCAACGTTTGCGCATCGATCGTTCCATGATCGGTAATCCGACGAATTTTGTCCACACTGGTCACATTGGTTCAGCAGATGTGGAACTGTCCGCCAACCGACTCAATGCGATCTCAACACAAATGCAGAGCAAGGGCGGCTACGAAACAAACTCGATACACTCGCTGCACGTAAGTTGGACTTGGATTCGGATTCTCCCTCGATGAATCATTCATTGTTGTTGTTGTTATTGTTGTTGGTTGTTGCTGCTGGTGTTTTGTGGTGCATATTTAATGTGCGAATCACGATGATCACAATCCGAAACGTTTGCCTCATTTATCACCTACATACAAACGTACGCAACTGAAAATGACAAGGTGACGATCTGATCTGGTGGTTTTGCTGGTTGCAGTGGTTTTTGCCAAGCATCACAGCTCAAGGTGTTGCTGCTAATCAAAGTGTAACATTCTGCATAAAACCCAACAATAATTGCAGAAAAATTATAAAAAAAAATAATAATACTAAGATTGCAAAACAAGTTGAGAATAATCCTAAGGCAATAAACTCTTCAAGAACATTTGCTCTCTAGATAAATATTTGTAAGGTAGTCGTTATATACAGTTGTCAAAAAGTAATGATAGCACAGGAAATGTTTTCAAGGGTGTACTTTTTAGTAGTAGACGAAGATTAAAATAATAAACTGACAAAGTAGAAAATCCCCATTTTAAATTAAATTACAATTAAAAAATTAAATTTTATGAAATTGAAAAAAATGATTGAAAAAATAAAAGCACCATTTTATATAAATTATAAATAAGTAAGCGATTTCTTTAAAGTGGGTAAGTGGTGCTATTATTTTTTACGCTTCTTTTTGCCACTTTTTCCTTCAAATGAAAAAAAAAACATATAGATATATATATAACATTTTAATTTATAGGGGAAATACCAAGCAATATATTAAAAACCAACATTTAAAAAAATTACAAATTGCTTCGTTTTTTCACTCGTATGAAAAAATTATATATAAGATTAGACAAGAAACAATATAGACAATAAGATCACAAAATCTAATGAATTGATTCTATGGAAGTAGGTGTATATGATATAGTAATCCGATTAGGTAGTACATTTGAAAGATCAGAAATCAGACCAGTAAATATGCTAAAAATAAGATCAATTAATAAAATTTAGTTTATAGACATGTTAAATAGCAGTTAGATAGACCCATTCCTAGCTTTTTATAGGCGATAACAATCGAGTCAAGTTGCTCCACTTGATAAACAATTGTATTGTTTTGTCAAAAAAACAGAGAAGAAAAAAAGACAGTTGGCAGAGTTCAATGCACTTTCAGAGACAATAATCATCAGGTGTTGTTGCTGTGTTTGTAAAAGATACACACCCAAGTTTTAGTACAAAATGTTCAATTAAGTTTTTTGTTTTTGTGTGGTATTAGTTGCACACCAAAGCAAACACAGACTTTTTCATGCTATATACCCATTTACTTGCTGCTGCCCGGCAAACTGATAAGATCTCGTTCCTCTCCCCGCCCTTGTCGCAATTGGTAAACACGGGTACGAAGTGCCCAGCCCCCCCAGCACCCCACCCAAACCCAAACCCAATCTCAGCATAGTTCCAGTTTAAGTTTGTTGTGTTTACGCTCTAGTACATCGCTTAAGCTGCTGACAACAACAGCAACAACAACAACAACAGAAACTAAACTTTTCTTTATAATTATTTTACATGTTTCTTTTTTTTTGCAGGCCTGCTGATGAAGGAGCACACACACACACACACTCCCTCACATACACACACACACATACACAGCACTGGGCTGCTAAGTGCATTTTGTGCAATTTTCTTCAAAACAAAAACAACAACAACAAAAAGCAACAATTTAATATAATTCTTTGTTATGCGCGAGGCGTTTGTTATCAGCCGGCGTCGGCGAGGGTGACTAAGAAAGCAGCAGCAGCAGGAGACGCTTGATGAGGGTGAATTTTTTGCCAAGGGGCAAAGGGTGCCAACTGACTGACAACGCCAAAAGCAGCAGCAGAAATGGGTTCCACACACACACACCACAAAGGAATAACAAGAACCGCAGCAGCAGCAACAGAACAACTGAACTGAGTTCCACACACACACCACAATGGAATAACAGCAAATGAAATGGGTTCCACACACAGATACCACAAAGGAATACCATCAATGTGGATTATGAGAACGGACAATGGAATCCATGTGTGTCGCTGTCTGTATATGTGTGCTTGTAGAGAAAGCAATTTAGCCCATAAGTCAGCACCATCTAGATATATGTATGTGTACACGTGTGTGTGTGTGTGTGTGCTTGTGTAGACTAAAACTGAAAACAGTATGTACAATTTTGTAGACTTCCACTTGCGACTGTTTTTGTTTTATTTTTGCCATTTTTGTGAGTATTATATAGATGAAAAATCGCAAAAGGTTAGCAGGCAACAGTGCATTTTATATATACACATAAACGAATACACAGATGAATATTTAGGTATGTACAGTTTTGGTTGACCACATATTGTACTTAATGCCAAAATCAGGACACATGCAATCAGCTAAGATCGTTTATTGTTTTTGTTCTTTTGGATTTTACCTATATACGTATATATTTACAATTAGCATTTCCGATTGCATAACACGAGACAACATTTCCAATAATAATAATACAAAATAAAAAACTGCCTTATTTCGTAATGCGCACAACTTAGGGGGCCCCAGATCAGTTGATCTGTACACATATATATATATATATATATATATATACAATGTATACCCATATTGTGTGTGTGTGCGTGTGTGTGTACTCGTCACCTAGCAAAGCAATTTTACAAAGCTGATTTAGCATTTATACATAATGTTATTAACTTTACAATGACAACAAATTGTCGCACAATCAATTTTTCAAAAATCAAAAAAAAAAACAGAAAAAAAACCATAAAATGTATAATTTATGATATTTATAAAATTCGAATATTTGTTTACAAAGCAAAAAGAAAAGAAAAGAAAAAATAAACTTGATAACCACTTTTTTAGATACATTTAGTATATATATACATATTTATAAAACGAAACCGAATAACCAATGCAGAATATAGTGTTTAATGTTTGGCAAGTAGAAAGAACCGAATGAATGTAGAACGTGTACCTTTCTAGAATCCCTAATCAAATGTGCAAAAATCTTTAAAAAAAAATATAAAAAAAAACAAATTGATAAGAATCATTTCTAAAAAATCAAATGCAGTTGTAGATATTTGACTAAGATGAATATTTTATAATAACAAACAAATATAAACACATGTGTTTTGGGTTGAATGCGTCGCAAGTTGTACGCCGACTAGACTAATTGTATAAAACAAAAATATTTAAGCAATAATTTATGGAAAAATATATTAAAAACCAAAAACAAACAAAATTTCCCAATGTGATTTTCTTTCATTTCTAAGGAGTCGTTTTATAGTACTGAGAGAAATCAGGAAAATGTTTAATTATAAATGTTTTCTATTACAACTATTTTGTACTGAAAACAAACAATATGTCCACGTCTATTTCGATCCCACAACTTAAGACTCATTGATTGTTCCTATGGCAAATGGTGATGATTTTATTTTGGCTAAATTTGAGAAGCGCATATTTTGTTATCTTGGTAGATTGTTACTATTTCAGCTATATAATATAGTGGAACGATCCGACTCCGACGTCATGTGTGACTGAACCCATAAGATGGATATATACAAAGTTTTATTAAGATATAGAACCAGAATTATCAACGCTTCTAAGCAGACTGAGAAACCAGTGGAAGATTACATTTATTAGTATTATATTTGATTTTAATATGTATTCTACTTTGTTTTTTATACAATTTATGGGCAAACTAAAATATGAAACCGAGAACAGTTTTTCTTCGATTAAGTGTATGTTGAAGTAAGTGTGGATAACAATGACTAATCATCATTATCGCTACCACTGCCGGAGCCGGAGCCGCTGCCACTGCCGGATTTGCTGCCGCTTTTGTGGGATTCATTATCGCTGCCGCTGCCACTGCCCGAGCCACTTCCACTGCCACTGCCATCGTCATCGGGGCCATCGCCACTCTTGCCACTGCCGACATCGGATTCGCTGTCGGAATCGCGGAGCGCTTTGCTGGCCTTCGCCTTGTTCACCTTTTTGCTGCGACGCGCCTCAAAGTCGGAGCCCTCATCTTCGTCGGAGGAGTAAATGGTGGAGGCCTTCGGCTCACCCTGAGCACCGCCACCGCCACCGCCGGAGCCCTTCTTGTAGCGATTCTTGATGGCGCTTAAACTGATGGCATTCTCATCGTCGCTACCATCGTCATGCTGATAGGAGTTGCCACCACCGATCAATGGCTCGCCGGTGCCGGCCTTCTTCTTCTTGGGCTGCGCCTTGTGCTGGGTACGCATGGCCAGACGCAGTTTGGCCTCCTCCTCCTTTAGTTGCGAATAGCGATCCGTTGTCGGATCCTTGCCCACTTGGGTGAGTATCTTGATGCCGCTCGTCTTGGTCGAACGATCCGCCAGTGACATGGTGATCTTCTTGTGCGTAAACGATTCCGTCGAATGCGGCCGGAACGTCAACTTGGTGCGGAACACCGACTGGCCCTGCAGACCCGTGCCCTGCCGTATAAATAAATGATTGTGATCACCGACAAGGGGTTGGCGATACGCATCGAAGATTTCATTGCCTAGATGGAGGCTCATGCTGCCGTCGGACCAGCGCACATAGCGAGCATTCGACTCCCGGACCATTTCGCCTTTGTTGTTCATGTACTCGCGCCAGCGGATCGTGTTGCTCACTTTGAGCTTGATGCGCTGGCGGCCCTCCTCATCCATGGTTTCCTCCTCGTCGATTTCATCCTCATAGGTCTCCGGATCGAAGGGATGCGTGACAACCGACAAGAAATTTGGCAACTTGATGAAATGTTGCTCCTTGCCCAGATCAGCCGATATGCGTGGAATTTCCACATCGATGCGTGTCTCCGGCAACGGTTCCGGCTCATCTTCCTTGGCTGTCGTCTGCTGGCGCTGCTCGCGGGAACGCGAACGAGAACGACTTCGTGACCGACTGACAGATCGACTGCGTGATCGAGATTTGCTGCGGCTGCGACTCTGCGAGCGTTGCGGACTTGGCTTGGCAGCCATCTCCTCATCGTCACTGATGTCATCCGCATCGCCAAAGATGTCCGAAGCGGCAGGTGCTTGCTGCTTGGGCTAAAGGAGCACTAGGAATCTTAGTTAAGCTACAGTTAAATCGATATAAGGATTACCCACCGCTTCATCATCGTCGCTATCTGAGTCAATCAGGCGCGACTTCTTTGCTTTCGATGGCGTCTCTGTATCGCTGTCGCTTCTCCGTTTCTCTGCATCGGAGCCGCTTTGTCGGCGCGGCTGTTTTTTCTTTGGAGCGCCAATGTCACTGCCCGAACCCGAGCCGGAAGCACTTCTGCTGTGCGATGTGCGGCCGGAGCGCGGTGTGCCCGACTTAGAGCGTGGAGTGCCCGATTTGGAGCGTGGTGTGCCCGGCTTGGAGCGTGGTGTGCCCGACTTGGAGCGGGAACGGGAAGTGCGACTGCCACTGCGACTCCGACTGCGACTCTTGCTCTTTGAATTGGCACGTTGATCATCAATTTGCAGATTGGGCGAATTGGAGCGCGACTCCGGATGCGATCGTTTGCTATGGGGTGTGCCACTGCGGGACCGAGATCGGGAATGGGATCGTGACCTGGACTGAGTGCTGTGCGCCGAGGCGGGGCTTTGGGGCTGAGCAGGTCCCGAGCGTTGACTGTGCTGCGAAGGGGAGCGCGAACGGCGACTGCCTGCCGAGCCGGAACGGGCGCTATGCGGCGAACCGGAACCGGAACGCGAGCGCGAACGAGAGGATCGAGACCCTGAACGCGAACGTTCGCTGCCGCTGCCCGATTTGTGACTGCGTGGCGAACTAAACAAATTTTAAGGGTAATCCTTATAAGCTGACAATAAATCATTTGTGGCAAACCTACCCTGGAGCGCTGCCTTGAGGCGTGACGCTGCGACTGCGGCTGCCACTGCGACTGGAACCGGATCCTGAACCTGTAAGAATGTCAATTATAAAAGTACAGCTGCAACTATAAAAAATATTTTAATGCATTTACCGCTTTCGTCATCTGAATTCGCATCGCCCATTTTGCAATTTTATATTTTATATGCCAAACTTGGACAGTAAGCTATAGGACCAGTAAAAAAAACAGTTTAATTAAATGAATAAAGGAAAATTAACACTCCATTTAATATCTAGCTAAGTAACAAAAACAAATTGCACTGTTTTGTAAAACGCCGAAAATAAGTTGTTGATTACTTGACGTGCCTTGTGTTCCTAAAAATGTTCAAGGCAACCGTGTTGCTGTTGCGAATGCCACTATCGCATAACTATCGTCAACTATCGATAAGAGTGTGCTGCATCGATAGTCATCATCCGTCTCCGTCTTTTGTGTGTTTGTATTCGTATGTGACGAGCCACAAAAGTTTTTGCGGAACATTTTTTGTGTACATTTTAAGCGTTTTTCGAGCGCTCAAAAATTGTTTATAGCATTGCAATTGCAACTATTGGGCATTTGCCTATTTTCAATTAAAGTGCATCAAATTGTGCGTGGCGTAAAAGGTGCGCAAATCGCGAAGCGAATTTACCCCAAATTCGCGTTCGGGTGAAATTTCAATGAACTGAGAAAACAAAGACAGAGAAACACACACATATACACAGTGAAGTAAGAGGAAGCAGTGGCAACAGCGCAATAGCAAGCAATTATTTACTTACAATAAAATCAACATATTATACATAAACGAAGGCAAAACAATCCAAAAAAAAAACCCAAATACCGTTCGAAACAAAAAAACAAAACGCTTCGAGACTCTTTGAAGCTATCGCATTGGCCGCTCAAGCCCCAGCAGCAAAAAAAATTGTGTGCGTTCGCCGCTTTTCTGCAAAAAGGAGGAAAGCATATTAAAAAAAAAAGAAAAAAAACCTTCGGTACTCCTTCTCTCGGGCAGAAAGCACGACGGCAATAAAGTTCACCAATACACAAATACAGCGCGCGTGTGTGTGTGCGAACATACATATATATGTATATTGTATATATATACGCAATATATTTAGGGACGAAGACGGCGCGGAAAAATACCAACTAACCTCTTTCTCTCACTCCGCTCCGCACGTTTCGCTGCTAACACTTTGCGCATCAGTGTGGGTGCTTGTGCCAGTGTGTGTGTGCGTGTGAACCGTATCCCTGTGCATGGATCCTGAATGTGCCGTTGTGAGTGCCATTTATTAGTAGCTGTAAAAAAAGTGATCAAAAACGGCAACTAAAATTCACGCACACAGCTACAGAATAGTAAGGACGCCAGTTGTGTGACAGCAGCGGCAACAACAATAAGAACAAGAACGCAACGGCGTTAGGACGACGGCAGCAGCGTCAGCGTCGCCACAGACGACTCAATCCCAGTCGCTTTGGAATGTTAGATGCGGTGAGAACAAAACATTCAGTGTATGTTGTTGGTAGTAGCAGCAGTAGTCGGCAAACAGTAGCATTAACAGTGGAAGAGGAAGAAGAAGCAGCACCAGCAGCATTATCATCCAACGTTCATTTAGGTAAGTGAATAGTCAAATATTTTTAAATTTCTTCATCTAGTCTATTAGTTGTAGTCTAGTCTATTAGTTGTTTATGTTGCTGCTGCTGCTGCTAAAAGCTAAAGCTCTTTTTCAAGGCTAGCCCTGAACGCTAATTGGCCAAAGTTGAATTCGCAGCCGCAGCAGCATTTTGTTGTAAGCGAAAACAGTGTTGCCAAACGGCACATTGGTCAGCTGATGAAGTTACACACATAAATCGAAACAAGATCAGCATTCGCAGCAAAGCAAATCGGGCAAACAAATCTGTGTGTGTGTGAGAGAGAGAGAGAGTGAGAGTGAGACAGACAGAAAGAGAGAAGGTCGCATAAAGCACATAAAAGGTGCTCAGAACATAAAACACAATAAGTAATAATAATCATCGGACAACAAGTGCAGGGCCGAGAGCTACCTGTAGATCAGCAACACTTAAGCACTTTTTGTATATGATTGTGTGTGTGTTTAATTTTACGCATCACACACACCAACACAGATTGTATCCTTCACCACTTGTCTTTTGTGTCGGCCATTTAAGCAGAGCAACAACAGACGACGCCGCATCCTGTTTCTGGTTTTTGAGACGCCAAGCCAAATTGATGCAGATGGATGTGCCTATATATATATATATATATATATATATATGTATGTGTGTGTGTGTGTGTGTGTGTTTGTATATGCATACTTGGTACGCATTATGATTCCTTTTCTGCCTGTCGATTGATTTATTTATTTTTTTTGACAGCTGATGGCTGGGTGGCTATTTAATCTAAATAATACTACTGCGTATTTGTTTACTTGCGTAGGTTTTTCATTATTGCCTTAACAGCTTGATTACTATTGGAATATAGCCCTACTGTTTGTTGTAATTGTCGCTTTTGTTGTAACCTAAAGTTACGTAAATTTGCAGCAGCCTTGGCTTTATCAAAGCCGCAAATTAATACCGAAAAAAAAACCCGCCCCCATACTACAAAAACAATAATGCAGGCACTGAAAACCAAGCGGCGCCCCATTTAGCTTGTTTATATTTATTTATAAGCATATGTTTGTGTATTTTTTAACGCGCCACAATATTTCTTATAACCTGCTCTGCACTCAGTATGTGTTATCAAATTGTGCTCTCTAGTTTCTTGTCTGCCAGTCTCTCGTTTCTACAACAACCTCATAAATCTGAGTGAGTCACAATTGTCTGCTTATTAAATTGCGACTCTCTCAACCATTCACAATGGTAAACAACAGCCGGCCTCGCTTGATTTGTTGTTGTTGCCCAATTGGTTTCTGGGTGTATGTATATTTGTTCGTTTCTTATGCGCGCCAAAAACGCACGTCACGACTGCATCACAGATTACGACAGGGCTGTCCGATATGCCGATCGACCATCGTCTGTTATCGTTGCGCATTTTGGCAGATAACTTCAAAATCGATATCAGCGATAATTGCTTCGCTAACTAACGAAATTCAATCAACACAAACAAACTCAAATAAAATTGTAACGATTTTCTGCATTTTGTTTATTTTTGTTATGCTGCACAGATTATGGCGAATTTAAATTTTCAACAACCGCCGAGAAGCATAGCAAATGCGGCATTAACGGGACGAACAGCAGGCGGTTTCGGTGGTAGCTCCATGTCTGGCCATGTAACACCCACGTCCGGCATGTTTCAAACCGGTAAGAGACCAGTCGATAAGTAATCGATTACAGATATATATAAGTAATTTTGCGAATTAAATGGTTTTGTTTTCTAGATTTCGCCACCTCGTATCCTGGCGCTGCGAATTACGGTCAACAAACGCAACAGCCGCCTCAGCTATCGCCGAATCGGAATGCGCAGTTATCGGTCGGTGGTCCCGCCTTATCGAGTGGTAATCGCAATGCGAACCTGTTTGGCCAGCGGCCGTTTGTGGAGCGTCGTGCCATGGGTTTGGGCAGCGGGCCCATGGTGAGTATCCATATGTAAATATATTATATAGATATATTAATTTTGGTTTTTCGCTTGCAGTCGAACATGGGCAATTTTATGCAGTCTGGCCGCGGTGGCTATGGCACGGGCGGCGGAGGGGGCGGCGGTCCTTTAAATAATTTTCATGTATTCGGTGGGGGCGGCGGCGGTGGCAGTGGCGCAGACTCATCAACGCCAGCGCTCCTCGATCCCACAGAGTTTCCATCGCTGACGAATGCGCGCGGCCAGAACGATCAGACACTGCCCCAATCGAATCCCCTCCAGCCGCCGGGCAGCAAACCCTACGGTAATTTCTTTACCTCTTGTGAGTTCAAAAAAAAAATCCACTTTCTTTTAATTTAATTTCTGTTACAATAATTGGTTACGGTTTGGGTATTTTGTTTTGTTTTTATTAATGCTTTATTTATTTATATATTTTGTAGTTTATTGTGCTAATGGTTCGTTTGTTTGTTTTTGAGTCTTCCTTCATTGCTTTGTGGTGCTGGAATTAACAAAAATATAGTTTACAAGCTACTCATGAGTGATAAAAGTTAGTCCTTTATACAGTCGTCGCTCGAATTCGCTAAATTTTAAATGGGTGACGTTCATAATATTTATGCATCGACAAATAAACGATTCCAATCTAGCGACCACTGTGGTATTTAAGAGAACTCTTTCCCATATTAAAAGTCAACTTTTTAAAAAAAATTTTTTGATTTTGCGATATGTGTGTGTTGAGTGTGCACAACATTTGTGTATTTTGGGGTATTTTTATGTAACTGACGATGTGCTTTTTTCAGTTGGCATGGTGAAGCAACCAACGTCAGAGCAATCGGAATTCACGATGTCCAACGAGGACTTTCCTGCGTTACCGGGCACCCAAAACTCCGACGGCACAACGAACGCGATAGGTGGCAACAGCAGCGGAGGCGTTGGCAGCGCAGCAGGTGGCGGAGTCGGCATCACAGAGAACAATCTGGATGGCACGGAAAAGGCAATGAATTCAATTGTGGTCAGCGGCGGCTCGTCGGGCAGTTCCTCGGGCAGTGCGGTGGGCGGCGGCAACGGACTCGGCGCCGTTGGCAGCGGTCTGGGCGGTGTTGTTGTCGGCGGTGGCAGTAGCAGCAGTGGGTCAAGCGGTGGTGTTGTCAATGCGACGCATGTAGGATTAGTGGGCGCTGGCGGTGGCGGCGTAGGTGGTGGCGGCGTTAATGTCAACAGCGTGCCCGGCAACAATGCGATGATGGGCGTAGGCGGAGGTCTCGGCAGCAGCGGGGCAGGCAGCGAGCATATGAACGATAATTCCAGCAATGATAAACTTGTGAAGAGCGGCGTACAAACATCGCCAGATGGTAAGCCTACACTAATTATAGCTCTATGTGTTATCTAAATATATATAATCAATCGACCATTATTTACAGGCAAGGTCACAAACATACCAGCGAGCATGGTGAACAATCAGTTTGGCATGGTGGGTCTGCTGACGTTCATCCGAGCGGCCGAAACGGATCCCAATCTGGTGACTCTGTCGCTCGGCACGGACCTAACGGGCCTCGGCTTGAATCTAAATTCACAGGAGAGTTTGCATCCAACATTCGCTGGACCGTTCGTGGAACAGCCCTGCAGGTGAACATATATAATATATATATAATTTGAATATATATAATAATTTGATTTGCAATTTATTTATATAGAGCACAAGACGTTGAGTACAACGTGCCACCCGAATATCTGATCAATTTTGCGATTAGAGATAAGCTCACCGCGCCGGCACTCAAAAAGCTGCAAGAAGATCTGCTCTTTTTCCTGTTCTACACGAATATCGGTGATATGATGCAATTAATGGCAGCTGCTGAATTGTAAGTCATAAAACGTTGAAATTGTAATCTAAATATGCATTGAATTTTATTGTGTGTTGCAGGCATAGTCGCGAGTGGCGGTATCATGTGGAGGAGAAGATATGGATAACTCGAATTCCTGGCATTAATCAATATGAAAAAAATGGTACAAAAGAGCGTGGCACCTTCTATTACTTTGATGCGCAAAGTTGGAAACGTTTGTCCAAGGTTTTCCAAATAGATGCCGAGAAATTAGATAAATGTCCCAATATAAATGCGTTTATGAATGGACAGTCTGTATAATAATAATAAAAAACAAAAAATCGAAAAAATTTGAAAAAGCAAAAACAAATCAACGAACGTATTTTGAATTTGTTAACGTACAATTTTTAACGTAGGCGACCCTGTGCTCGTGTTATCGATAAACACTAACTATACATTATCGACCAGCCACCACAAAGAGAACTGCGTAGTTTTATGCCTTGCTTGTGGTATGCTGATCACGGGATAAATTGAATAAATTCTGCGTGACTCGTTTGATCTGCGCTCATTGCGTATTTAATTTTAATATTGTTATAATGGGAAATGCTTGCAATACTGTGACGAGGGATAGTTAACTTATTGATATAATATGTTAAGCTGTAGGGTCGTCAGCTGCATACTTTGCTTGTATACCAATTTTAGACAGCACAATAGTCAGCTGCATACCTCGCTTGACAACAAATTCGGATACGGCGCTTGCGCATTTGGTTTACATTTTAAATTGAAAAGTTAACCGACACAAGATGAACACGCCAGGCGTCAGCCTATTCCAGGGCGCCGATACGCTCAAGGTGAATTCAACGTTGGAGCGCCAGGAGGAGGAGGAAGCGTTGCAGGATCAAAAACGCCGCGAAGCTGAGGTGAGTGATGGAATTTTGTTGTTGAACGACGCCAGCATTGTTTACATAGAAATTGGGCCGTTGTTTCGCAGCTGGGGAATTTATTGGAGAATGCTTTCGATGATTTGGATGACGACGACGACGACGAAGAGAGTACAATTGACTCCACAACAAATTATCCATCGAATTTATTGCCAGCACAGCCGTTGCCCCCACTGCCAGCGCCAGCGCCATCCGCCCAGCAAGTGGAATATGTGAATGCCAGCGAAATGCACAAGCTAAAAATGTTGCTGGAGTCGAAGACGCACGAGCTGCAGAACACCAATAAGATAGCGTCGGATGCGCACAAGAAAATCGATGAGTACCAGAAGCGACTGACCATCACCCAAGCGGAACTGGAGCGAGCGCTGCGCGAGAAGCAGAACATGCACGAGCTGCTCGTGGACAGCAAGGAGAAGTGCTCGAATCTGGACAACAATATCGAAAAGTTGCGCAGCGAAAAGAAATCAGTGGAGGCGGAGAATACACAGCTGGTGGGCCAATTGGAGACGGCACAGGCGCTGTTGGCGGATGTGCAGCGTAAATATGATCTGGTCGAGCGGGATCAGCATAGGCGAGAGGATCGCAACGTCGATATGCGTATCAAACAGCTGGAGGAGCATCATCGTGCACAAACCGAACTGATGCAGCAACAGTTCAGCCAGCTGAGCGATCAGTTCGATAAGAAGAAACAGGAACTCGATCAGATGCACATGCGCTACAATTCGTTGCAGTCTAGTCACGAGTCCATGCTGCTGGACAAGGCGGCCAAGATCAATGAGCTCAACTCGGCACTGGATGTGGCGCAGCATCGCTGCAATCAGTTGACTGCGCAGCCCAGTTACGAGGCGGAATATACGCGTCAGCAGATATGCATTGCGGATTTGCATGCCCAGATTAGCAGCAGAGATCAGACGATAGCGCAGTTAACGGATCGCTTGAATGGCGCCACAGCCGAAATGGATCTAATGGACACACTGATACAGCAACATCAATCCGAATCGGGGACACTAAGTCACCTGCCGTCGTATCTCTCGGGCAGCACACCCCTCAATCCCGCTGATCGCATGGGTCACATCAAACATGAACTGTATCGTGCCCTGGGCAATCTCAAGAATAAGCGTGAAGAGGTGCGCCGCCTGGAGAAGCAGCTGGGCGAGCGAACAAACGAGTTGCGCACGCTACGCGATGAGGAGAACAAAACACTCGTGCAGCTGGCCACGCTTAAGGAGGATAAAACGCGTCTGGAGACGCGCATTAAGGTGCTGCAGGAGCAGCTGGAGGACCGACAGCACAACTCCTCCCTGAACGTGTCCAAAATGCGCAGCGACCTGGATACACTGATAACGGAGCGTGATACACTGCGTCAGCAGGCCGATAGCCAAAATGTAGAGCAACAGAAACTGAGTAAACAGTTGCAACTGTTGCAGTCACGCCTGGACACACTGAGACAGGAGAACGAGCAGCTGAGATGCACATGCGATCAGCTAACGGATGACAAACGTCAGCTGGAGATGCGTGCCACCGGCGACGATGTGCGACTGGAGCTGGAGCGGCACAAGATTCTGCTGAAGGATGCCCAGGGCGAGGTGGAGCGACTGAAGACGCTCTACACGGACATTGCCAACGAGAAGGAGTCGCTCAACTATCAGCTGCGCAAAGTGAGCGACAAGGATAGCGTCAAGGAGTTGCAGGAGCAGCGTCAACAGATCGCTCAGCTGCAGCGCAACGTGCAGCTGGCCGAGCTGAAGGCCCAAGAGCTCGCCAAGATACTCGAGACGGAGAAGACGCGACACGAGCGAGAGTTGCAAACGCTGCGCGAGAAATGGGAGCGGGAGAAGCACGACGAGGTGCTCAAGGCCGCCAAAGAGAGCTCCAGCAATTGCAGCAAGTGCAACGATCAGCTGGCCGAGATCACCAAGGTAAGTGGCGAGGAGTAAGGAGTCTCCACTGTATTTGTATCTAAACTGTAATTTTCAGATTGAAATCCAAATGCTAAAGCTGCAGAATACGAACTCCATGCAAGCCAAGGAATTGGATGAGCTGAGAGGCGAGTTGGAAAAGACGGAACAACTGCAACTGGAGCTGGAGGCTAAGGTGCAGCTGGCGGCGGAGCAGGCGAAACAGCTCGGCGAACTGAAGGCCAAGGCGCAGCAATACGAGGAGCAACTGCAGCAGGAGGCAGCTAAGATGACAGCGCAGCCAAGTCCCGTCAGCTCAAATCCGGAAGTCAACGGGTCGCCAACATCGCCGGAGTTGACTCAGGTGCGGATCAAGCGCATCGAGCAGCGTGTACGCGATGAGATGGCCAAATTGTTTGCTGCCGAACTAAAACGCTTCACGATGCGCGCCCAGCAATCGGATGAGCGCAGCCAATGCCTGCAGCGAGAGTATCAAGTGGTCCAACGGGATCTGCAGCAGCGTCAAACGGAGGTGGAGGTGCTGAAGCAGACAATACTCGCGGAGCGCGAACACATGCAGGATATGCTGGACGACAAGGATGACAAACAGAAGCAACTGGTGCAAAAGTGCCGCAACGAGTTGCAGGCGAAGAATCAACGTATCGCCGATCTGCTCCGCGAACTGGACGAGCAGCATGCGAGCATCGAATCGGAGCGTCGCTCGATGAAGGCCGTGATGACTGAGTGGGACAAACAGAAGCAATCCATCGAACAGGTCGAGCAACATTGGCGCAACCATGTACAGGCGGTGCTCGACAAGCATGCGGAGGAGCTGCAGGCCACCGAGAAGCGCTATCAGAGCGCCAAGCGCACCGTCCACAACTACAAACTCTATCTGGAGGCCAAGGATGCGCACACGAAGAGCGAAATCGAGCGCATCAAGCAGGAGTACAACACATCCCTCGTCCAGATCGAAGCCAAACTGCATCAGCATTTCCATCAGCGCAAAAGTGCTCGCGATGAGCTGCCCAAGAATACAAACGATAAGGAAAATGAGCCGAGCAATCATTGAAATTGTAATTTGGCATTCTTAGTGAATTGTTTATACTAGTTTTGTACGGCGCTAAATAATGTTTTATGTCCAATTGTTTTTTATACGAATGAATAGAATTAAATACATTTATCGTTACATTCCCAAACAGATCACGCTAATTTCAAATTTAAGCTGTTTTTGGTAGAAGTATAATAGTTTTAAAGAACGATTGGCATTCGGAAATTTTTAAGATTTAATAAGAAATATCTTTAGATAAACGTTCAAGTTCAATTCAGTTTATTATAAAAACTTTGTATTCTGTTTTAGTGAATTATTTATAATTCACTATAAATAATTATGATTATGTATTTATTGAATTTTTTATAGATATATATATATATATAGATTATGCAAATATGTACACACTTTATACATTCTTAATCACCCGACTTGAGAATATAATTAATTGCAATATTTCTATTGCTTATCTGTGGTTTTGTTGAACTGTGTCCAGCACTTTTCCAACACCTCGAAGAACTTATCAATATCGGGACAAGTGATGCCCAGTGATGCGGCGACAGTTAAATAGGGCACCTCCAGCAGATCATGATGCGCACCGAAATCTGTAAACGGAAAAAACAATCTAAATTTATTTGGGGAAAAGTATAAATTTAAAGTTGGGAGAAACTATCGATTGTTGCTTCGTTAAATGATCGAAACCCATTCAAAATACTCACGCTTGAATTCATATCCATCGATGGACTTCAGCTGAGCCACGGGCACCACTCGCACGCCGGAGATGCCACGCGTGTGCAACATGGCGCCCAGTTCAACGATGTTGCGACCGCCCGGACAAGAGGTCAACGTACCCAGTGTCAACGCTAGCGATATGTGATTGTCTGCCATCTGTGGCACGGTTTCGTTGTGCTCCTTGGCAAACTGTTGCAGTCGCTGCTTGAGACATTGATATCGCTGCTGACGCTGCACAAGCAGAGATTGATAGCCACTGCATCCCAGTGAGAGCAGCGTCATGAATACATCCAGAGTTTGGGAGCTGCTCGCACGACCCGCATAACAGCTGGCCAAATGCTGCAGCAGCTGCTCATCGCTGCTGGCGACAATGGCGCCGCCGACGGGCACAAGGAGATTTTTATCTGTGCTTTGCACAAAGTAATCAATGCGTCCAACGCGCTGCGCCTTCTCCAATTGCCCACTGATTGCAGCTACCTGCAGGCCATAAGCATTGTTCACCAGGTGTGGCAATGAGTTGCTCTTGGCCAGCTTGGCAATCGCAACGATGTTGTCGCTATTGCGTGGCGCAAAGCAACTGGTTGTCGTGTACAGGCAGAGTATGCTGTCGGCGCCCAGTTCCTCAATTTTCTCTTTAAACTTCTCGCAATCGGTGATCAGGGATTGCTCCTGCTCTAGCAGCAGGCAGGGTATCACAATTGGCTGTAAACCGGCAGCTGTAATTGCCTTGAAACAGGATTTCTGATCGATGCGTGACCAGAGCACATATTTGGCATTGGGTCGACGCTTGCGTAGCGCCTGCAGACACAGCATCAACGTCATCCCAGTGGCCATGGGCACCAGAAAGCAGCCACGGCAGCTGTGCATGCCCAGCATCTGCAGCAGCTCGAACAGCAGCGCGTTTGTCAATGCCGCCAGCAGCGTGGAGCCGGCTGCTTTCGGCTGTGCCTCCAACAGATCCCCCGAGCGACCAATGCCATGTCCAAAATTATAATGTCGTCGCGCCACAAGTCCTCAAAGTATACAAATCTTATTTATACATACAATTTTGAATCTCTATTTTTACTTACTGCACGCAATGCGCGCTTCACGCTCACCCAGACCCACATTGTGGGCGAAATTGTTGCTGTCCAGGGCGGCCAGTTGGTGCACCAGCTCCTCAATCTCCTCGTCCCGCCAACCATTTTCCGGCAATTTACGCTGCAAAACCCGACCTTTTTATCAATCGTTTTTAACAATAATAGTTGAGGGCAATCACTACCTTCTCGAGCAGTTCCTTCACATGACGCTGCTTCACACGCTGCGCTTCTAATCCCAGTTGTAAGTAGTTGTTGGGCACCAGTTTTTGGGGTATATTGATGCCTTCAAAATTCATTTTAGGACCGGCCAAAATTGCACTGGAATGACACCATTTAGTGCGGAATATTAATAAGGTGTCAACGCTGCGAAGCAAATCAGTTTTCTTTGTTGTGTGTGGGCGATGAAGCTGATTGCTTAAAATTATTAAATATTATTGTTATTTTTATACATAAGAATACTTTTAATTTTTGTAGTCAGTCTTCACTTACTTTCACTTTAACTGAAGGAGTGAGTTTTTTTTAGTTAGGCCGCCAAAAGTGCTCAAAAAACATAATAAAAGATTGTAGAAAGTGTTAGACTAATCTTTCGACCTCACAACATATAATATAACTATATATTTTTGGAAAACACGCAGCAATCAATATTCATTAAATTGTTACTAATAAGAACATGTATTTTGTAAAAAAAAAACAAAGCCAGTGTCATTTGACCACATGAGGATATGCTATCGATATCGCATAATAACAAAGTATCACCCCGTCTATCGATTGTTAGTCGTTTTAGTGTTGAACAGTAATCCGAACAGCGCGCATCATTTGGGCATCCATAAATTTTGTATGGAATTCCGATGCAGCATTTAAATTGAACATCTTTAAATACGAATTTATACAAGCCTACAAAATGTAAGTGAGCAAAATAGAAAACAACAATTGTACAGTGAACATAATATAATTTTACAGGCCTAAAATAAGTGAGGACACGATGCGTGAGCTGGATGACATTTTGAGTGAGAATAACACGGACGCGGATCGACTGACGGCATTTCTCAAACTCAAAGCCGAGGCAAGGCCACAGAATGGACCTCAGTTTGTGCTGTTCGGTGGCGGTGATATTTCATTAGATGTTGACGTCGATTTGATAAAACTGCCCGCCGCTACGCAGGCACAAAAGCAACGAACAATGCCCGAAGCAACACAAAAAGCAGCACAACATGAAAAATTACGAAGCAAGCTGCAGGAACATTACTCGGATAAAAATGCGGAGCAGCAGCAACAGCAGCAGCATATTTTGGTGGCCGAGTCACAGCCGCAACCCGAGCTGCTTACGGAGAATATACCGCCTTTGGCGCGCTCCCACAGTTTGTCAGCAGGACATGTCGTACCCTCGCCAGCTCGAGCGTCCATCTACAGACGCCCCAGGAGCATCGGTCGCGATCTACTCAACGATTTCGATAATGTGGCCAATGACACAACGGCGCAACCTCTAAGCTCCCAGGATTTCGTAAGTGATGCCTAATGGGAGCGTATTTATCTTTATAATTTATATCTACTCTTGATCTGCATTCGTCCGTGCAACATATTTGCATCGTCCCTTCCTTTTGCCTGGCACTGGCATCTCCGTAATTACCAAAAGTAGACACATATTGCAAATTTTAAGAGCTAATCTCCAACATATTTTATGCCCTTGCAGAGTGTATTATAATTTTGCTGTCTTCGATCTCACATAGAGTATATAAATATATATTCTTCATCAGTTAAATGTTCCTCCTTCCATCCCATATATCGTATAAATATTCTTATTCAAGACAAACATTTTCGCTAATTTATTTTGGCACTCTTCGAACGTTAAAGAATCTTAATATCAAATTTAAATGGGGATCATCTGCATATAGAGATCTCTGAGTTCCATAAATCGACAATCACCGCTTCAAATGTTTTGCTTCGAACAAATCTTTGCGAAGTCCGACTTTTTAGTTGCTCCTTCTAATATTTAATTCGCTGTGTGTTTTCCAGTTGCCCGAGGTAAGCAGCACGCCTGCTTTACGCAAGCCAACATCACAACAACAAAAGCAACACAATGGTCGCCAAGAGCAACAGCGTTCCCCAGCAGCAGTAGCAGCAGCTGTGGCAGCCGTCGAGACTATGCCGTGTCATGAGGACTTCGAGTCCATATTTCAGTCGAGCCTCATCAATATGCAACGTCGAAGCGGGCTGTTGTCCACACAGGACAACCAGTTGCCAACGGCAAAGAGCAAGTTGAGCAAGGGTGCAACATTTATTGTGCTACAGCAATCTGATGAGCCGGCACAGCTGCAGCAGTTGCCCGCAAAGCGAAGCACAACGGGTCCAACAGCGCCGGCTACGATAAAAGAGCTTTGTGTGAAACTGCGACGTCTACCGCAAAAAGAATTGGTTAAAGCATCACCATCAGCAGCAGCACAGAACGGACTGCAGCGGGTGGTGCCAGAATCTTATCCAGATGTAGAAGAAATGATGCGTGTATTGCACAGTCCGGAAGAGGCAACAGCTGCAACAACTACGGCAACACCAGCATCGGCAGTAGCAGCTTCTGTCAGCTGTGGCATACAAACCTCATGCCAGAATGGTATGCAAATAGTTGACTCCAGTGAGAGTGACGATGAGGCCGGGGACAACGGTGCACCACAGAATCTGGCACCAAGTGGTGGCAACATAACCCGCAGGCAACGCCTGCTCCAGCAAAAGCCGGCAAAGGCCACAACCCGTGAGCAACTGCTCGATTTGCATTGTACGCGCATGGGGGACTCGGACAAAGGCACTGCGTCCACTCAGAAGCTAGCGCAGGCAGTACTCAATAAGCCATCAGGTCCGGCCATCAATGTGGAAGAAATGATGCGTGTATTGCACAGTCCGGAAAAGGCAACAGCTGCAACAACTACGGCAACACCAGCATCGGCAGTAGCAGCTTCTGTCAGCTGTGGCATACAAACCTCATGCCAGAATGGTATGCAAATAGTTGACTCCAGTGAGAGTGACGATGAGGCCGGGGTCAGCGGCGCACCACTGAATCTGGCACCAAGTAGTGGCAACATAACCCGCAGGCAACACCTGCTCCAGCGACAGCCGGCAAAGGCCACAACCCATGAGCAACTGCTCGATTTGCATTGTACGCGCACTGGGGATTCGGACAAAGGCACTGCGTCCACTCAGAAGCTAGCGCAGGCAGTACTCAATAAGCCATCACGTCCGGCCATCAATGGTGAACAGTTCGCCATGGAGCTGGCGCGCATGAGCAACTATGAGATACTCGACTTACGCAAACGCAGCTCAAATGGCAGATTGATTCCCCTGAATGGACAAAAGACGACCACAACGGAGGAGCAGCGGAAGGTCGTGGTGCAAAGCATACAAAGGGAGTTGCAGCGTCGCAATCTACCCGATCCCGACGATGAGTTACCCAATGGTGACGAGGCCGTCAGCAGTTCAGTACCTGTCGCACGGGAACCATTGCCGCCAGAGATTTCTATGCTGCCGTCGCCACCAGAGATTTCTATGCTGACGCCACCGGCGCCAGCATCGCCGCCTTATAGATTCAGGAATCCTATGCAGCGTGCTGCGAAGAACCAACTGGACACATCGCGGCAGAAGCAGCGACTTGGGAAACGCCGCGATCCGCCCATGGTAAGTGACACCTTAATAGACCATATGCCACATATTCCACATAAGAAATTTTATAGTTGCTGGCATGCTAACTCTTCTCACATAATATGAATAAATTCAAATTTCAATTCAATTTGCAGACCGCAGAGCTGCAGAATTATTTGATTCTGTCGCAGACCATTGAGGAGCGTATCAAAAAGCACTCCGGCTTGGGTACCAAACGGAGCCTGTACACTAAAGGCAATTCCGATTTTGAGGATAATAATCTGTCGCCGGTGCCGGCGAAGCAGCACCGCTTCAGCATCATACAGATTGCGCCTGCACCGCCAACAGATGCTGGCTGCAGCATGCCCATCGGGGATATACCAATTGTGTCACCGCCACCAGCATCCATACGCTATTCGCAATGTATGCGGCGATCACGAAAATCTATTCGCCATATCAGTCCGCTTGATGTTGCTCAGGAATCAGGTGCATCGCAGGAGGCGGAGGACGAAGGGGTGCAGCAAGAGCAGCAACAGGACAGAGATGTTGCTGGGGTGGTAGTTGAAGAGGTGGAGCGTGAGTTAGTGAACGGTGAGGAGGATGAATATGTCGATGAGATTAAGGAGAAGGTTATGGAGCAAGAGGTACAGGAGCGTGCGGAGGAGGAGCTAACGGAAGACGAGGTGATGAGGGAGGAAGTTCCAGAGCATTTGGATTGCGAATCGGAGGCAGTTGTGGATCAGGATGAGGTGGAGGCAGTTGTAGAGCAGGAGGAGGCAGTGGCAGTGTCAGAGTCTGAGTCAGTGGCTGAGGCGGAGGCGATAATGGAGAACGATAGGCTTAGCACTGAAATGGAAGAGTTGCGTATGCAAATAGTAACACCGCCGCTGGACGTGGAGCAGACCGACTTGGATGATCGACCAAGTACCAGCAAAGCAACACGCGAAGCCCTGCAGCGCTCAATGCAGAAGCAATCACGATCCAGGAAACAAAATACTAAGCAAAGAACAAAGCAGACGACGAAGTCAACAGAAAATGAGGAAGCCGTTTTCAAGAAACCATCGGCGCCTGCTCCACGTAAGAAGCCGGGATTGAATAAAATTTTAAAGAATTTGGAAATCACGCTGGTCAACGAGACGCTGCCGCCGGAGGAGAATGAAGCACGCAATGCCCACGATGAGACAAGTAAGAAAATGTATTTCAATTGCTATCAACGAATTATGTTTATATTTTTCCATGCAAAACCAGGTGGCGTGCGCAGATCGAGACGTGGTCAAGTGCCGTTGCGCAACACTTGGGTGCACAGCATAAGTAATCCCTTCAAGCACACCTTCTTCGAGCGCTCGCTCTCCAGTTTCCCGGTTATGAAAGTGAAGAAGCTCAGAGAGGGGGCAACGCTCAGTTGGAGCACGTCCGTCACTGATGAGGCGCCGCTCTACAGCAGTACACCACATATTCAGGATCCAGTGGTGGCGGCCAGTGGCTCAACGCTGAAGCGCAAGCGGCACGACAAACGACATGAGCCGTTGGAGTTAACGGGCATCTCACGACTCGCCGATGTAACTGAAGAAGCTGAGGAGCAATCATTGCCCCATATACAGCAGACCACGAAGACAGCAACGGCAAAATATTCCCCGCTCGAAAAGCAAAGGACATTGGGGAAGTTAGCCAAAAAGTCTAGGACTCGTATAATGTCATCAGATTCAACAGCAGAAGCAGAAGCAGAACCAATGCCAATGCTAATGCCGCTGTCAGAAGAAGCAGAACCCCAGGCAGATCAGGCAGACCAGGCAGCGCCAGAGCCAGCAATGCCCAAAAAGTTGCGAAAGCGTGGGCGACCCAAAAAAAATGTTGGAAAACACAATCACATACCTTCAGAATCAGAAGCACAGGCAGAAGTCGAAACAGAAGCAGCGCAATCATCAATCTGCCAGTCGGAACCAGTTGTAGCTGTTGCCGTGCAGCCGCGCGTTGAGGTTGCTTCAGCGCCAATTATTACTGCAGCAGAAGCACAACTGTTGCAAGCGATATCCTGGCTGCGTTGCACCAGCGACGTACCGCGCCAATCCCTCAGAGATGATAATGATTATGAGTGCGAAACCGATTCAATGCGCTTCAGTATGTTGTCTACACGTCAGTTATTTAATACAAATCAAATTTATATTTCGTGTTTTGTATTGCTTGCAGCATCGGTAGCTGACTTGGAGTTCACGACCATGGATGGCCTTGATTACGCCTTCTACAATTCGGAGGAATCATATACCCTAGGCTTCATACGCTTCCAACCACTGCAAGAGCGTGGCTCAAAACGGAATAAAACCAATATACTGGTACATATCAGAATATATATCTGTATATACATATAATGTTTGTATTAAGGCATATTTTAAATATTATAATTTTTACTTATCAATTTTGGTATGGATTTTAACAATGTAATTTTTCAAAATGTGTTGAAAAAACCTGATGAAACACATTTCTCAAAACTAAGAATGTAATGAATGTTCATTTTGTCATTGTAAGCACTGAGTTTTATTAAACTTATTTTTATTGATATTTGTATTATTTTTACCATTGCAGCGTTTCATTGCAATTATTGGAGAGTTTGATGTGGAACTCGAGTGTGACGGGAAAAATTCGCTGAATCGAATCTTAAAGCCAGGCGATATGGTTGAGATTAAAAAGGGTAAGCAATTTGCTAACTTAACGATTAATAACAATCATTGCTATATTGACCAATTAATTTGCAGGCAATTGTTTTAATATTATCAACCGCTTAAATGAGGTCAGTGTCCTGATCGTGAATCGAAAGTGAATATTTATGTATGCTTATGCATATATCCGATATTGCTTGTCGCATTTCACAAGTCGTCGAACAAACGGAAAGGAAAGGAAAATCAATTACAACCCATATATAAATTTATGCTGAAAGTATGATATATTGGTTTCCTCTTTAACTTATGAATAGTTCTAAAACCAAATTCTTATGCGTAGAAATATATTTTGTTATCACTGATAAATTATTTCAATTGGGATCAAAAAAATCAGTTTGGGGACATTCCAATACAATTTCTTCGCAAGATTATTCGAATTTTCCTGCAAAATTCAGCAAGCTGCACGTTTCGCAAGGACGTGTGTGTGCGTGTATGTGTGTGTTGGGTGACTTCAAAAGTAAAACACAAACAAGCAAAGGACAGCAACAACCATATACAAGTGGAAGACGAACAACATCAACAACAGCAACAATAATGGCGGCTTTCGCTACACTCTGCATGCAACTTTTTAACACATTTTGCACGTTTGCTTTGTGTAGCAATGTCTTAAAAGTACAAACACACATTTACACACACACACACACACATATACACACAGAGAAACCCTCACTTGCCGTGGGATGATGAAAAAGTGAGTGGCTGTGGGTGGGGTAAGTGGCTAAAAAGTGTGTTGGAGGCGCATAAAACGAAAGAAAGAATGTCCTATATATAGGCAAGACTATGAGTAAGTTCGTAGAAAGCAATCGCAAATAGACGACACAAGCTTTGTATATATCCTAGAATTTTATGTTTCGACACTCATGGAAAGCTGGTTGTTAAATGTTCTTTAATATACTTGTTTCTCGAACTTAATATAGAGTTCTGCTTAAAAACTTTAAAAATATTGTCATCCAATTGACTTGCTGACTTAAATCCCTTTACTACTTACATTACATAAAAATTCGAAGAACAAGCATTAATAATATTCAGTTGACAATGTGTTAGAGGGAAAATGTGAAAGCATCAACTTAATATAAAATTAACCCAAAATGAATATAACCTCTACTGTACACAATGAACGGGTGGCTAGATTTAAATTAAATCAACAGCCGAGCGACGATGAAAGGCTTCGTGGAATTGAGCTGAAGTCTGCCGAAATGTGTGGTGTGTGTTGCTCTGTGGCAATGAAATGTTTTAAATTAAGAAAATAGCAACTGACATTCATTACCAATGCGCACAAACCTGAAATACTTTGATCAAGCACGAGCACAGCGTGACTCCAACTACAGATGATGATGATGATGGTGATGATGATGATGACAACACTTTCTCAAGGCTGCCCGCTGTGTTTGAGACGCCCCACTGACAAATGCAACTCATATATGTCAAACATATTTACAGCCATCGTATTTCGATAGTGAATGGTCTAAGAACATTTTGGCTACCTTAAATTATGGACAAAATGTGCTGTGCATGCTGGGAATGTTTGATGGGGGCAGACATCAAACATCGCAAGCTCATTACAAAGGTAAACATTTTAATTTTGTGCACACATTTGCAGAGTCTTCGAACGCCTTTGCGACGATACCCACAGACAGGATGTCGTCCTGCAAGTGCACACAAACACACACACACACACAGCTAGACACAGATAAACGCATACAAGTATCAAAAACATTCAATAGAATCGCAGCAGAAAGTTTTGCAGCGCTGTTGAAATATTTAATTAAAAATGTCGTTCCAACAAGAACAAATAGTAGAACATACATATATATAATAAAATATTATAATACATATATTAAATGTTCATTTGTTCTTCGTTGAAATGAGATTTCTGTTATCAAGTATACGCCACACGAACACACCTACAAAAAAGGTGTTCATGCATATTTAGAAACTTGACTGGCTTGACTTTTTTTTGTTTGTGCCCACAAATCCATTCTGAAATTGGCCGAATATGCTCAGGCGCCTAGCTCTTGGCATATGCGAGGACTGTCCAGCAAGTTGAGTGTAAACTTTTTTTGGCAACCCCCTTCTAACCCGCCCTAACTCGTCTGTGGCTGAGTGTCTCATGTGCCTGGCACGGTCGCATAATTTACCCATGTCAAAGTTTATTGTATTTTTTTTCCTTTTTTTTTATGGGATGCTTGCTTTCTTTTTTGTGGTGGGTCAACTTTGCATATATGCCAAATAGCTGACCACAGCTTTTTGTTGGCATTGTTATTGCCGTTCTTCTTGTGTGAAACTGTTGGCCAAGAGATGCAAAACAAAACGAAGAATAAGGTCCTGCACGATAACACAGTTAATTGATTCACCAGCCATCAACTGTGCAGCCGCATATCTAAACAGATTTTATGCTAACTAAACCAAAAAAATTAGTTCAGAGTGGCCAAATCTGTATACTTATAATATATAAATATTTAATAAATATATTTAATTTTGTTATATATAATTCATACTGACGATATATTATTTTTTCTCTGATTTGCTTTCTCTGGGTTTTATTAGTCAACATTAAGTAAAGAATCTATGCAATTAACTATAGAATTTCTGCATTTAAAAATTAAACCGATATAAAAACTGCAATTAAATCTTCTAATTATTATAGATTTGTGTTTATAGTTGTCAGAATTATTTTTAAAAAAATTAAGCCAATACAAAAACTGCAATTAAATCTTTTAATTATTGTACATTTGAGTTGATAGTTGTCAGAATTATTTCAATTATGTTTTTCTATATGTAGCTTTTTTTGGTTAGCCGCTAAATTAAATATATACGACATTTAAAAAATATGCTCTCTACATTGCGCTTCTAATATATATTTAAATATACGCTTTTGTTGAGTACTCCATTGAAATGTGAGTGCCCCAAAAAGTAGGCAACATAAATCTAAAATTGGCTCATGGCAAATGCAGCTGCCAATGCAACTTGTCAGGTTGGCCTAATTACAGGCCAGACATAAATAGCATGACACACACACACACACACACGCACACACACACACACTCACACACACACTCACACACACACACACACACACACACACACACATACTCACACACTCACACACACATTCAGCAGTAATAAAAAGCAGCAACCGGAATTTTCCGTACTTGAACCACACCTGAATTTACACAACGCATAATACGCGTATATATATATATGTAAATATGTCAATATAAATTAATTGTATTTCCCTTTTCATTTTCAAGCTCATTTTCTGGCTCGGTCAAATGTTAACTTGCGGCTGCAAAAACGTTTACTGCAGCTGATTAAGGTGGACAGGCACACACGAATATTCCAAAATTGTGGCAGGTATAATTGCTACAAATAAGATATTCTGTTAGTTTAGCTGTTACATGATTATCATAAATATCTACTTTGGATAGCTAATAAGGATCTCGGCTTAGTTAAATTGTTGACCTTGCTTCTCTATTCATGGAAATGAATGTTAAATGTCCTTTGTTGGAGCTTTAAATAAATTATTCAAATTAGTTCTTGTTTTGCATGGAAAAGGATTTGATTTGTGGGTAACGGTCTGTGGTTGCCGGTCAAATGGTTACCCGTTACCGGTTACTGGCTACCGGATTTTCTGGTTAACCAAACTGGTTTTTTCATTAGCGGTCAACATGGCCAGATACGTGTAACTGTATTTGCATGTGTGTGTGTGTGTGTGGATTACGCCGTAATTAAACTGCAACAATTTGATTAGATATTTGGAATTTCATTTTGGAGCGCTTTTCAATGCTGCCAATAACGCTACGGAAATGAAGACTGAACGCAATTTTGATTATTTTTTAAATATTTTGTAATTGAACGTTTTTATCAATTTAGAATTTAGCTCGAATGCATTTTTTTTGTGAGCAATCGTTGCGGAAATGAATATTTAAATGCAAATACATTTTATTTTCACATTTTTGGTCAAATTTGAATAAATTCTAATGCAAGAATAAAAAATATGAATAGTTATGAATGCGTGTATTCAATTTTATTGAATTTCTCAGGCCTCAACGGAAATGCAGCGAGTGATTTATGGATGGCGGCTTTTGCACATCCTGTCACGATAAGTGTGCCATTTTGGGTACACTCCAGTTGTGCATCAGTTAACACGCTATTTCAACTGGGTCGCAGAGCCGCCGGCAAATGCCGAAACCTTTCAGCAGAGCTCACCGCAAGGCAGATGGCCATAAAAACACTTTACATGTCACATGGTGACCGGGCCACAATCGATGCAGGCGTGCGACCAATAACTGCAAATGATTGGGGACCAATACGTGGGTCCAAAGTATTTTCATTTGTAGATGATGGACGAAAAGGTAAATGTAAACGTGAACGTGTAAAAGAAAACTGCATGCATAATGTTTGGCCGGCGGGAAGGCATTTTGTGAAGTTCTCTGTTCTCTGCTCTGCTCTGCTCTCCTCTCCTCACCTCACCTCTCCTCTCCTCACCTCTCCTCTTTGCCTTGTCCACCACAATTCCACCCAGAAATGAGCAACAGTTCGTTTTTGGGCAGCAAGCGGCTTTCCAGCGTGGGCTGGCCAAAGGAGGGTTTGACGCAGGCGCAAAACAACATCAACAATGTGGGTAGGTGAAACACCACTACAAACAGTAGTGGAATTGAAAAACGTACTATTAATAATAGTATTCGAAATTTTACTCAAAAGTGCAGTGAAAACTGTAGTGACAGTATTTAGGGGAGCAAGGGAAAGTGAACAATTTAGAAGAAAGTGGAGTAAAAGGAGGAGTACAAAGTTGAGTAGAAAGTGTACTAGAAACTTATTTACATAGCTAAAAGTTGTATATATTTTTATTTGCAACTTCTAAATTAACAATATTTTTGTTATTATTAATAATATAGTATATATTACATAATTAAATAAGCTTTAAATAAAAATCCTTGATTAAATTATAAGCCAGCCTCTTTTCTTTGGAAATTTGTATTTACAAATTAGATTTTATTATTGCGCTTAACTATTCAAAATAAAAAGTATTTATAAATGCTTGCTAAAAATTATGAAGCAGCAATGTACCTTAATTAATAAGGATAGAAAATGAAAATAAAAATTGTTCCTTAAATTTTATTCATCGTTAACTGCTAATAGTTGTATCATTCTTAAATTTATATTAAAATTTGTATAAAGAAATATATAACTTTGTTATTGTGTTTTTAAAATATTTTAGGTGCTTATTATCAAAAGGAGATGAATCATTTTTAATTCCATTTTCTTCTCTATAACGAATAATAAGGTAAGTAGTAATATTATTT